TATAATTCTTCATTATTCTGTTTTTGTTTCATTTTCTCTGTAGTTTTAATTATTTCGAATCAATAAATAAAAAATTTACATAGTGACATTACTTACTTTGCTTACTCCTGTTACGCCTCGTGGAGGAGCATGAGCCGCCCACCAGCACTCTCCATCCGACGCTGTCCTGGACAATCCTTTCTAGCTCTTTTCAGTTTTTATTCATCATTTTCATATCTGCTTCTATTTCCCGACGTAATGTGTTCTTTGACCTTCCTCTTTTCCGTTCGCCTTCAGGATTCCAAGTTAGGGCTTGTCTTGTGAAGCAGTTTAATGATTTCTGTAATGTATGTCCTATCCATTTCCATCGTCTTTGCATCATGACATAACTGGTAATAAAATTTTATTTGTCATACAACTTTTCACTCATTCACTCATTTTGCTTACTCTTTCTCTATAGTAAAATTATCAATCTCATCGAATGCAATATTATCGTCATTACTACAGTTATACTGCAAACACTTTAACCATTTCATCATATTTTGTTTTGTTCAAGTTGATACATTATCCTATTTGCATGAATTACGAACTTACGCTGAATTTTCTGTTGTTCTAAAATAAATTATTTGATTAACTTTGCTGAAACTGAAGGTTCTGAATTCTAGTTTTACATGTGTAGGATCGTGAATGCACACTGCTGAGGAGTTCCATGTTAAGATGAAATGACTGTCCAGTGCTTCCAGGTTTAAAATGGTAGTTCAGCTTAGATCGAATCGTGATATCAACTATTAAAAAAATAGATTTATTATTTCTCTCTCTCTCTTAGCACCATATCAAAATAATTTAGAGGAGGTTTAAAGCGATGAGAGTAGCCGATGCGTTCCATGTGATACTAAACCCCTCTGCTCTTAGTTAGAAAGGAGGTCTGTATATTCATCCAACCTGAATTATTTATTCAAACAAAGACATTTGACATTACTTATTTTCCACAAAATCTATATATTACATATTACAAATGCATACTTCTCCATACCCACATTGTGCTACACAAATTAATACAGATCATACAAATTCACCTTAATCAAGAATAACTTGAGATAGACTTATCCAGACCTATTATGACTTTGGTTGTACTAAAAATATTCCATAATGTTTCTTTTTTGTACTATTTAAACTTGCGTTCATTTAATATCGGTTATTTATTTTACTCTGAAGAAGTAGTTTATATTAAGTCACAAAATGTCAGAAATACAATTTTACTACACATTGGGATAAAGCAAAAAAAACATGTATTTATTATCAATTCATTCTATCTTACATAGGCATTTATAAGTATAAGTTTCTAGATTTGATACCTAATTTAAATAACAAAGAATACATGCTTAAGCCTGTTACTCCCAGTGGAACATAGGCCGCCGACCAGCATTCTCCAACTCACACAGAATATTAGATAATAATCCATAAATAAAATAAAATAAACATAACTGATTGATTAGATAATCAGTGATAAATGTCTTTCACATCATTACTGATAATAAAATCAGTGTTCTAATCAATTATATTTTATATTCCCGACCGTTGTTGCTACCTTGACGTGATGGTCGGGCTCGCCTATCGTGATGAAGCAACCGAGCTATACTGGCTGAAACGACTGTTCCTCAAGGTCCTACCATGTCAGACAGGTCGGTTGAAGAGCAGTAAGACTAAAAGCAACAAACCTAAGGTCCGAAGGCGAAGTCATACTGCTGACTGTACAAAGGTGTGACAGCAGCAAGGTGTTTCTTTCAGACAACCAGCATGACAGCGATGCTGCCTTCCCACAACGAGGGGTAGGGTTAGAAAGGTCGACCCTAAAAATAAACAACTCGCCTTATCCGTCTCCAGCGGTAAGGTCTCAACAAGTACGGAGCTAACACGAAGATTACTCACAAAAAGGTCGTGTGTGAGCGACCTCAAGTAGTTATCCCTTGGGCACTGCGGTCACGGTCTCAGGTCACTAAGACCACATCTAATCCAATTTCTTTTTCAGGTACCTATGGAAGAACCTTCCCACGGTGTGGGCAACCGGGAAGTGATAACTGCCCTCATACCTCTAACAGCACTCAAGACCACTGTATTCATAATCAACCTCCCTCTTCAATTCCTGTATTCATATTTTATATTAGGGTATCATTTTTTATGCAATCAATTTATTCTATGTTTTGAAATGTGATGGTAGAGAAGATTTGTAGCTTAGGTGGATAATTTTGATAAAATTTTGTGCTTTGAGCTAGATGGTTTGGTTGTGGAACTTTCATTGTTCTTTTGAACGACATCATCTGCACAAACTTCTAGTAAAACTCCATCAAAATTTTGAAATGTATTTTGATAAGTTGTAACATTTAGTCGTTTATTTATAAATGACTGTGCTTATGTAGACAATATTGTATCATGTATTCAGCACATTACAAATCCGGTCTGTTATTTACTTATCAGTAAGTTATTGTACCATACAAATGTAAATAATTTGTCAGTGAACTATTCACAAAAAAAAGATTATAAGTGTTTTAGTAGTCCTTAATCTGACTAACTTTGGGTTGTGTGGATGATTGTTATTGAAATATACATAACGCCAATTTTCGTATTTACTTCTGTTATTCTTTTGTGGCCCTATATCTGACTCCATTTAGATCATATGATTGGCCCTATACATGTCTCTAATCCTCGCATATAATCATCGACTTTAATCGAGTGTTAATACAAAATATAGCATCATGACTGTAACTTAGTGAATACCTAGTTATTATTATAATTCAGTAAAAATAATCAGTACGATAAGGAAATATTCACGCTTTTATTTCAATGAGTAAAACATCCGTAATTCTCTGTTTGGTTTTAAAAATTGTTGTGCGTATAGGTGCCTTTTTATTGAAGGAACGATTACATTACATACACCAAGATAAATTTAAACAAAATAAAGGAGATTGATTATAATCAGGATGGAGGTTTTTGGAGATTGTAATAAATTTAATAGTTGACTTCATAAGTCTATCTAAGCTAGACCACCATTGAAAACCTCAAAGCACTGGACACCGTTTTCTCTTAGTATGGGACTCCTCAGCAATGTGCATCCACGATCCCACACGCGGGATTCGAACCAAGGATATTTGGCTTTCGCTCGCGAACCTTTGGATCATTGAGCCAGCATCCAACGGTGTCAATGTCTCCAATCGACATGGATTGGATTTCACTGTTCACAACTTCTTACTAAAATTCTAGGAAATTCATCTTGAAGCTAGTCACAAATGTGTTAAAAAGTATAGTAATGTTGAGTAGAAGGGGTAATGTTTTAGTTGGCAATAACTATGGTAAAACAAATTATGGAACTACATAATAAATATTTACACTTAGGTCAGATTGGGAATGTTAGATCTATTTCAAATAACTATGTTTTACGCCTAATACAATCAGAAAAGTTCAATAATTTAGATATAAGAAGAAACATTTCCCTAGTAATATGCATTAGCGCCAATAAGGATATTCTTTTCAGTTGACTTGATCACGTTCTTAGCTTAATATTCAAACAAAAAAATTCTTTATTCCGCAATGATTGAATGGAACAAACAGAGGTAGAAAATAATCGTAGATTTAAGACAGCTGAACATTAAGAGTATATACCTTCAGTACTTATATCTGATTCGAATTATATAATGTTATAGAATGATTGTTCAGATCACAATCAATACTATGGTCAAATGCAAATAAAATATATTAGTAATCATAAACGAATTGTTAGTACATCTGGATCAACAATTTTACTGACGTATAGATCTTGTTGCGTCTATTTTTTTTCTTATGACGATCAAATTTTATTGATCAAGTTGCTATGTGATCGTCATTTGACATTTGGTGGATTCGATTCAATGCTAGGTGACATAATGCTCCGTGCCTAGATTTTGTGTTAATTGCTACTTTGTGGTAAAGTATATTTACGATCATTTTGAATAACTAATTTCTTCAAGAATTCTGAGACAACGTAAATTACATAATAATAATAACGTCTTTGATTGTGAGATTGAATAATATGGGTTCAAATCCAACAGAAATCATTGGTTCCCTGAAAAATGCTGATTTTCCAAACTGATGAGTCACAAATGGGAGAAATCTAGGTCAGGGGCCACCATTAATTGCCTACGACTATCTAACATCATAGCTTTATTGAGCTTTAGAATACACAATGGTGCTAAATATAAGGAACTGTGTAATTGAGATATTCACCAGTAAGTCTTATAGAAACCTGTTCACAGTTTTAACTGTTTGGTCATATACATTTGTAATAAAATAATTTGTTTAGGATGTTCTGAACACAGATTATACTGATTCATATAAACTAACAAACTGAACTTCTGATTCTATAATTAAACTTTGCTTATCAAAGATAATTTGTATTTTTTCTGCTTCTTTTATATTGGTTGGTTGAAACTTCGCCTTTATGTATATGATTGCAATAGGTCAGTCTCTTTTGACATATGTACATCCTATGCAGATTGCCTCATACATTGTTACTAAGTTACAAGCACAATAAGTCGAGTTGAATGGTGGCTGGCGATAAAGTCCAGGATGCGCATTTTATTCTATCAGGATGAACACACCTAAACAAACTGATTGATTTCAGTCTTAAACACCAATAGGAAAATTCAAACAACCAATACAATGAAATTAAAACTTATCCCTTCGTACAAATCAGTGGCTACTCAGACTCAAGAGTTAAGCGTATAATACTTCAGCATTCAAAGTGAACGATACTGGGTGTAAATCCCGGAATGAACATTAATTCTGAGATCTGGTCAATCACTTACAAAGAGAAAGAAACTTACGTCCTAGATTTTACCATCATCAACCAATCAGTTCTACTTAAAATGTTTGTTATTCTCTCTGAAAAGTGTTTTTTTAATGTTTTTTAGCTATTAAGCTTTCTTGTTATTACTTATGTTATAGAACTAAAAGTATTCTTTCTTTAAAAAAGTGCATTTTTTTTCTAGGCTTCATCTCCTGATGAAAAAGCATTTGTGGAAACATGTCGTGATTTAGGCGTAGTATATCATGGTTCAGATGAAAGTGGTTTACTGGTAAGTTAATGAACTTAATTATTCATTGTTTTTCGGGAGAGACACTAATTTAAGGACGACCTCCAAACGAAACTTAAGTGACCTTGAGAAATATTAGCCAATCAGCAAACAGAAAGTATAGAGTAAAAATATGTTACACAAAACCAAAAAAATAAAGTGGATACACTTCTCATACGTGGTTCAAAAAATTGTCAAGGTTAGAAAGAGGTTCAGAGGTTCTAAAATCGTCATGCATACAGTAGAGGAAATCATCCATATGGCTACAGAATAGTCGACTTCTGGAGTCATGATAAAGTCTTAAAAACTCTTGCAGACTCGACCACATAACTTCAATATTGCTTGTGTGCACTCCGGTTGTTGAGTACACAATATCCCACTTGTGGATAACGACACGATGCACATAACCAACCCTATGTAGGAGTCTGTTCGCTCTCCAATCATCCGTATATAGTGTAGTACCTGACTGCAGCCAGTGTTGCGGGTGCTTTTATTATCCACTTCTCAATAACTGTCATAAGTTGTCTTAGTTAGGGATTATATATAGGGTTTTCATCACGAATTGACATAAGCTATAATGTCAGAACTTTATTTAGCCAAATGGATGAAAGGTTTTCGCGCCGAAATCCGAGATCCGTTATCTCATACCTGATTGATTCGTCCACCAAATTATAGTCTCACCGTTTTATTTGTTATAGCCGCTCAATTATCACGTTTTGTACAAAATTTCCTGTGAATTGATCATACGTTAGCATTAAATACTGATGTTGGTGCCGTGACCTTGAAATCTCTCAAATGTTTCTGATTGGTTCTTCTATAAATTAGGGTCTCGCCGTTTTTTTATTTTAATTACTTTCATTGTAAATAGGTAAATATTTTGTAAATTAATTTTAATATAATGAAGAAACATTCGATGAATTGGATCTAGTAAATTATTGAATAGTTCATCAATAAAATTTTTCTGTAAATTGTTCACCATGTATAACATTGTTCTATGTCATTGGAAGAAAAAATATGGATGATAATGTATTTATTAAGTTATTTCATTCAATATTATATTGAAAAATATGTTTAGATTCTATAATTAGATAGATCATAGATGCACACTGCTGAGGAGTTCCACACTAGGACGGAACATCCGTCCAGTGCTTCCAGGTTTTCCATAGTGGTCTAACTTAAATTGACTCATGATTTCAACTTTTCCAATATAAATGTCAAAAAGTTACTCTTTATGTAGAGAATACGTTTATCATGAATTACAAGCAAATTAAAAAAAATAAAAGCAAAACTCAAGGTCAATTTCATTGAATAAAACAAAAACTTCCACGAAATTAGAAATGACTGATTAATTTTTAGATATGTTATCTGCTTTTATATGAGCGTATTTGTGTGTACATCTTATCCTGCTCGTCACATGTCTGTAGCTTATTTTTGTGTGACTATAAATATCCATTAACGCTTGATAAAAGGGGAGTTAGTTCACACACTTTCTCCACTGAGTGCCGTCTCGTTTCGCTCTCTTCTCTTTGCTTCGTCCTTCTAACTGCCTGCTCAGATCAATGAGTGTACAATATATACGTATTCAAAATCTATTCTCATACTCGCCTTATTTTAATCCCATTATACACTAACACGAGTTAAGTCGATGATTATATACGAGGATAGCCAAAATGTGTATTTAGGTGACAATCAGCGTACGATCCAATTGGAGTCAGATATAGGGCCACAAAAGTGGTGAGCCTATCGATAACATCGTCCGATCTAATTGAAGTCTAAATGTATGGCTCCACTAACATACCTTTTTGGTGGCCCGTAGATCTGACTCCAAGATCGTACGAATGTTTGTTATCACCTATTCTCGTATATAATCGTCGACTTAATCACGTTAGCCAATAACGGAATTAAACAAGTCGAATAACGAGAATTGACTTGAGAATACATATATTTCGTACATGAAGCGAATGAAACATTGCAAAGCAAACGACACGTATGGAAGATGGCTGGGAAGCCAACTCCATTTTAGTCGAGCGTTACTCAATATTTATAGTCAGACAAAAATAAACTACAAACATGTGATGAGTCATGGAATATGAAGTGTACACACATATACGCTCATATATAAAAACAGTCAAGACTGATAAGTGAATAATTGACAAGGTCGAAATATGACTCAAGTAGAATGAATAGAATGGAATGTCCGAAAACTAGAACATAAGATATATGGGCTTAAAATAATGACTGACACTACACCTACAAAGTATAGGTCAATTAACAAGCGCTAAATAAGACTAGATTGTTATCTTATATTAAAATTAATTGTTATAACTTAAATACACCTGATTCTTTCAATCCATTCTAGCTTCATTAAAGAATAAATTACTAAAATAACATTAAGGCTATACTTATGTATTTTTCATTTAGAGAAATCATTACTTTACGAGATATGTTTACAATTGATTGATCACTGGGTGGTGATCAATGTCATGTGTGTCAGGTCCTTCTTAGTACAGAAAGAATAGTATCGACCAAGTAACAATGTGGCCAGTAGTCTAGGTGACTCGACATTGCATACACTATATTGAGATAAGATGGTGGTTGGAGGTATTCAGCAAGATACCCTGGCCACGGGTTTCGTGCTATTTGATACTCATCAGCAAGGTGTACCTGTAATCACCACCGAGTGATCAATCAATTGTGAATACATCTCAGTCCTACAGGAGATCATTCAAGGCCTGGATTGCCCAGTGGTAACGTCTCTGATTGTGAAGCTGCATGACACGGGATTGAATCCGTCAGGGAGAATCAGTCCTCTCAATATTACAGGTACATCTTCATGACGACTGCCAAATAGCACGAAACCCGGGTCCATCGTATCCTGTTAACTAGCTCCAGTCACCATCTTATGAGATATTTCATGAAGACCTTACAGAACAATACTAATCAAACTTATCAAATTAATTAGTTAAAAAAACAGTTAATTTATATTTTAAAAAAGTACCACCATTGAACCACATTAAACATTTTCTTCTCTTTTGATTCAATCAAACTATAAAAACTAAATAGGTGATTTTCGCTTTCGAAAGCAAAAAAAAAAACAAACAAAGGATAATCAAATTAAATTGTTCATCAATATTACTTATTTTTATGATCTATCAAACATTAAAACTTGATCATTCAGGTATTGTAGCTATGGCAACTATTATTATGTATTAAAATGAATCTCCGTCGGATACATCATACAAAATATTTTATTCATTACCGCTCTAAGTTTGTTGTGTTTTTTTCCATTTCTTTTATTATAAAAATCATAATTAAAACAATCAGTCATAATCATCTTAAATCTTATCATTGTTTGTCTATTTCTTTTTCAACATAGAAATTAATGTTGAAATAAGTTAATATTATAAGCATCTGTATAGGAGTGGTGGAGATTATAAAGTTTTTGTTTGAGATCATGAACCGATTGATGTTAGATCACCTTTGGAAACCTGGAAGCACTGGACGGCCGTTTCGTCCTATTTTGGGTCACGCAATTTCGTGAATTGGTTGATGTTAGACACTAACACTACTGGATGCCGACTCAGTGATCCAGTAGGTCATGCGTTCGCGCTTGAGACTGAAGGCCCTAGGTTCGAATCCTGCGAGCGGTATGGTGGATGCACACTGATGAGGAGTCTCAAAATAGGACGAAACGGCCGTCCAGTGCTTCCAGGTTTCCAATGGTGGTCTAACATCAATCGATTCATGATCCCAATCAAATAAATAAAATGAAAAGATCGGTTTTTTTGTTTTTCCTCTTTAAATTAAGTGTTTTATTATCATTATGAAATATCAAGTGGTAACTTTAAAAAAAACCTTCTATTGTGTACTGATGTTGCTTAACAACCAGATTAAGGCTATTCTATTATTACTTTTTAACAAATAATGTTCTTTTAAAGAATAAACAACTGAAAGTAAAGTTGTTATTGGTGTTTTTTGTATTCTAACCTAGTTTATTTGACCTTTTTAAAAACCATATTGTTTTAGGGGAATAACATAAAGGTTCTTTTAGTTTTCAATGTACAAATTCATTATACAATTAATTACATGTGCGCTCTATGAAATCTCCGGATAGGATTGAATTTTTATGATCAAAATATATGAAGGAAATGAATGTCTACATTCTTCTTCCAGTAAAGTCTATGATGGCATCACTAATTAATCAATTTTTCTATCAGAAGACTTTCTTTGTTAATGTTACTGAGATAATAATATGAAAATGTGGTGCAAAATACTATTGAAAGCTTTCTATTGAAGAATTCAATAAAACTAAGACATTCTACAAACCTTGTAGCAATATCTCGCATCAAATCAAATGTACTATTCTTATTGACTAACACTAAGATTAAAGTTAAGAGATTTTACAATTGTTTGATGCACGTAGTAAGCATTTATGTGTACATGTGAACATTATAAGAAAAGATAAATGATGGCTAGTAATGGAATCCAGTACATGCATTTCATCCTAATCGGGACTTGTCAACTGGATATACCTGCATCGCAAAGCTGATATTCATTCCGGGTCTCCAACGCAGTACCGCTCGCTCCAAGCGCTATCAAATACCGAACACTTAATTATCGTATAAATTCTATAAAATTATCTTAAGTAATTATTGAACGTACAATTATTTTCCCTTTTCTGTTGGTTAAAAGAAGAAAAAAAAGATAACAGAGTAATATATGTTGATTTATTCTATGGGTGATGGTAAATCAGTTGATGAGGTTGTGAATCTACATCGACTAAGACGGTTGGGCCACGTGTTGCGTATACCTGAACACCGATTACCACGACACGCATTGATGACTAGTGTTGGAGACAGTTGAGAGGAAGTTAGGGGCGGCCAAACCAAAAGGTGGCATCAATACTTGAAGTTACTTACTTCTAGTCTGAACCATGTAGGTAGATCCAGACTATCATAACCAATGGTTGGATACTCTGAATGACATGGCTCAGAATCCATCACAATGGCATCGGTGTATACACTCTTTGTCTTCCTTTAAACTATGAGATTAGAATCGTTTCATATCTTTCTACCAACCAATTCTTTCTTCCTGTACTATATTCTTATATGGAATCTTTCTTTTATATATTACCACCACTGAATTAACTACTTTTATGAATTTGATGTTCATCTTGTTGAGGTATGGCAACTTCGAACGATGCACATATGTATATGTTCCTGGTCCTACGTTGTAGCTGACTGACTGACTTATCATTAAAAATCAATATACTATTAGGAACATCATTCATAAAGATTAGAAAGTATTAATAATATGTTTATTAATTCTACAAGTTAAATATATGAATATAATAGAACAGATAGTTGAATGGCAACAGAAATGTAATTTTACTAAACTAAACATTTAAGTTTTAGGCTTAATTGATTAGAGTTGGAAGACAAAATTAGAAAAAAAATTGGATATTATAATTAAGGTCATTAAACAAGGTAAATTTCATGTGATGAACATAAATGACAATGAAACTATCAAGGTAAAATGATTTCAAATTACATCTTTTTCAATAATATAAATTCAGTTTACATTCATTTCCAGTATAGGGTCGTGGAGATTACTATGTTTTTGATTGAGATTATGAACCGATTGATGTTAGACAACTGTCAAAAACCTGGAAGTGTTAGACGGACGTTTTGTCCTATAATGGGGCTCCTCAGCAGTGCGTATCCACAATCTCGCTTGCGGGGTTCGAACCCAGGGCCTTTAGTCGTGCGCGCAAACACTTAACCTCTGGATCATTGAACCGACCGGCGTTCAACGTTGTTAATGCTTAACTTCAACCAGTCCTTTTATTGGAACGTTTTTGGCAAAGTATAATCAATTTAAAATTCATTGTTTACTGAAAAATATTGAATGATTTCTTAAATATCAACATCATGTAAACTGTTGAATAAATGATAAATGATAGTACTGCTGAGAAAAAATGCTGCCTAATCTTTTGTGGAATATAGTCAATGACACAAACACCTAATCTTTATTTGTCTTCTTCGAATTTACAGGCTTCAACGCATTCATGTAAAAACTTGCCTCTTAATTTCTGTACCACACTATAGTCAGATATTTTTCTCAGCAATTAATCAAGAATTTTGATCCATAATGTCTTCTTGACTCATTAAAATTACACCAAAAATCATTATCAGGTCAAAGAGGATCAATATTTTTCATTATCCTTTACGTTTCGTAATGTCTTTTGGTAATCATTAAAGAAACTTTATCACACAGTTACCTGAAAAATAATTCTTAAAACTCTAGTACTAAAATGAGTTGAATTCACTTGATATTGTTTTGCTTGTATCTTCCCATTGAGCTTTAAGACTGCAATTGATCACTCTCCTAGTGGTATATGTACATGTGGTGTTTGAATGAACTAATGATTCCTTTGTACTTGTTGAATGCTTGATTTCGAATTCCAAATACAGTACATTCGTTCGTGCTTATCTAGTACTTCTTGATTGGATTACGTTATTTCTGGGATTCTTAGTTCGTACTATAATCCAAGTACTCCTAATCATCATAGTACATACTGTGTATATGCCTCGAAATTACCTTAATTCACAAGCTTTTATAAACAAAGCACATATGCCAAGAACAAACTGATCAATTGCAGTTTTAAACCTCAATGGGATCAGTAGCTGAGTGGATAACGCGGTGGCGTTTGAAGTGAATGGTACTGGGTTCGAGTCCCGGAGTGAACATCAACTTTGAGATGCAGGTACATCCAGCTGACGACTCCTAAATAGGATGAAACGCGCGTATTGGATTCCACCGCTAGCCACTATTTATCTTTGCTTCTAAAATGAGTTGGTTATTTTAAGAAAAAATGTGTATATAATGACGTAGTAATGCGCAAACCTTATGTAAATATTCTTTTATGAGTCATTTAGCCGGTAATACATCAGTCAGTTTAATAGAGTTTCTTCACTTTAATATAAAATTCACAAAACTTAAAGTTAAATAAAACGGTACTTAAACAATACGATACATGAATAACATTTACAAAAAATTTGTAAAGTCCTACACAATTTTATAATGATCAGCTGCTTTCTTGACTGAAGATGAAATCGTGTAAGTAGCTAATTAAAGAAAGATACTAAATAGATTGAAAGGAAAACTCGTTTTCTATTGTTAGCCTACACTTGTAATTTTTTTTCTTTCGGATAGTCAATCAAAAAGATTTATGTGGTAGTAAACTGGCATATTGATGAATAAAGATGTTCAGTTATGTCAGTTCTTTATATGATAAAGACGTTTACTGACTAGTATATATTTTGGCAAGGTTCTCTTTTACAGGATAGAGTTGCTAATTTTACTCCCAACCCTCTCCTTTTTTACCCGAGTTTGGGTCCGGCAGTAACCTTAGAATAGCTGTAGTCGGTGTGGTGTAATAAAGAGAAAATACATTTATACCTTATGTTCAACACTTATAATACCACTTGTTGAGATCATGAGTCAATTGAAGCTAGACCATTTAAAGCGAATGGTTCTGTGTTCGAGTCCCAGAGTGTACATCAACTCTGAGATGCAGGTACATACAGCTGACGAGTCCCAAATAGGACGAAATGCGCGTATTGGATTCCACTGCTAGCCACTATCCATCATTGCAACTAAAAAATTGTTCAAAAATTTTAAACCCCTAATTTGAAACTCATTACATATATAGTGTAACATAAAATTTATTATTGTTCATTACTTTGAATACATCATTAAAATCTCTTTATAAATTAATCTATTTCGATAATGGATGCTCACTGCTGAGGAGTCCCACAATAGGAGGAAACGGCAGTTCAGTGCTTCCAGGTTTTCCATGTTGGTCTAGCTTCAACTGACTCATGATCTCAACCATTGAAATATAATAAGACGAAGATTATCAGAGCTATGTGATGATATATTAGCGCACTACATTTCGAACAATCTGATCACACATAATACACTTGTTTACAACATTTATATATATATATATATTTATATATAATAAATGGTCAACTAGACTGGAAGTGGGGTAAGAGGAGACAAGGATAAGAATGAGAGTAATAATAATAATGATACTAATAATATGAACACAATTTGAAACCTAATCACTCTGGATAATAAGCCAATTTTACTAGGGTAGGTTTAAGGTAAGAACAAACTGTTTTTAAATACAAAAAGGGGGTCTGAATTTTCGTATGACCAATGCTTAGTATGCGCCATTTTACACTTTTGCACATCACAAAAGCCTAGTTAAGATCAATCTTATGTCGTGTTCTGACTATATGTTTGGTAATAGAGAATGATGGACATTTATCCTCCACTGTTATTGCGTCATTTGATTCTATTGTTTCTGCAACCATTTTGGTACATGTTTACACATCCTAATTTTGAGATCACGATTGCTCCTCCCTATGTATGTGTGACTACACACACATTTAAATTGGTAAACTTAGTCTATGTCTTTATCAAAAATTATATTATTTCAATGATTACATAATTTTCTTGTGTTTCAGGTAATTACAATTCAAGGTGAAGCAGTAAGATATCGTTTATTAGATGTACTTGAATTTGATGCAACACGAAAATGTATGTCAGTAGTTGTACAATTTGTACCAAAAGAGAATAATGAATCTGAATCATTAAATTCTCCAGTTCTCGTTTTGTGCAAAGGAGCTGAATCAAGTCTTTTGAGTCGAGTAAGTAATTTTCAAATTTAATATTGATAAGTCTTGTTAATTTGAATGCTTTATTCGGTTCCAAACCTATTCTGGTAACTCGCAAGCTAGAACTACGCAGCGACCTGAAATCGAGAGAAAAGGCACAAGATAAGCGAAAAACACTTTACTCCGAAGGTTCATTTTTGTGCAGAGAAACACGGGTATTTATAGATGTTAACATTTGTTAAATCAACATCATATTTTGGCCAATCCGCTAAAAAAACATTAGGCTACTGACCAATAGTGGAACGCGACGTTGACACTCTAGAAAGCTCCATCTCGCTCTGATTGTCTAGGACTCTTCGTTTCCTTTAGGGCCTCTGGAAGCTCCATTGCAGTTCTCGGAAAGCCGACTCAACAAATATAATTGCTATTTAATTTATACTTTCATCAATTAGGCTTTTTTGTTTCTAATTCCTGTCTATTCTTGTATTATTAAATTAATTAATCAAACAAATATTCTGATTCCATTTTAAACCAAAGTAACTTGCTTAGAATTTTTTTTGAAACAAACTATGAAGTAAAGGTTAATGTTAGTTATGTTCATAACTAACTGATCAAATCGTTGTTTAAGCGATCACCACATTGATCTGGTCTGATGTACTTGTAAACTAACCCTGTTGCATGTAACCTCACCAATTGAAAGACATTATTATCCTATTATGTTAGTGTGACTCATAATTTTATACATTTCGATAAGACACGTAATACTGGTTGATAAATTTGTGCGTTTCACTGAATAACTGTAATTTCCTTAATTACTAATCTTAATTGTTTTTACTTTCAGAAATAGATCAAGTTTAAAGCCAAGTTGTCCTTGTTCTGACCATAGCTTTCACATAGACTCTGTGATCTCCAGTATCGCGTTTATAGTTCTAGTAGTATATCTGAAAGACAAATTAAATCCTACAGTTAACGAATATCATTCTTTTGATAATAACGTCTTCAGTTATTTAAAATGAAACTAGTTGGTAGGTGAAGATTTTTTTCAGTTTCTAAAATATAAAACTAGTAATCAGACTAGATGTGGTGTAGACTCAGCTTGACCCAACTAAAGTGACTAATTTAGTACGAACACTACCATTTTACAAATCGTAACTGTAATTGATATATGTATATGTATATATAAAGAGAGTCGCATTGTGGTGTGTGCTACTTATGTTGAGATAAGTAGTATATGATGTTAGTCGTAAACAGAAGGTCCGAAAGTAGAGAGACAAGAGGATCGAACAGTAAAGAATGGAAAGAAAATGCATTTTGTATGAAAATGCAAGAACAATGAAGTCCGAGTCATTTTGAGACAATGGATTGACATTTTGCAAATTAAGCATTTACTTGATGATTGTTAGATTTTATTAACAAGTCCTGTTATTTTGTGTTACATATATTTGATTGTCCCACTGGTGTCCTTGTTCACTGCAGTATTGCTACGACATGGTATATATTAATCAACTCTTTTTAATCACCAGGCCATTTTTATTTATTCATGTGGTGTATACTGTGGCCTATGAAAATATGAAGTACTTCTACATAGGTGTTTACGATCTTTACACGTAAACACTTTTGGTGGTTTTGCTTCGTTAATCAATTACTTCGATAACCGTCATAATATAAATTTCAACGGTGTTTAAAATCAGATGGCAATAAGATGTGGCAACTACAATTGATTAGTGGATAGCATGGATAACAAAGCTATAAGCATATCGAGCGAATTTGAAGCAAAAAGGCAAATAAGTATATGCGAGAAATTATATAGGAAAATTTATAGTCAAATCGTATAAGGGCGCAGCAACGCAAAGCAAAGGCTAATAATAGGATTTGAACATATATATGCATGAGAAGGAGGATGAATCATCGAGCAACATTTAAGCAATCAACATTTTAGCTAAAGTATTTCATGTTCCCTAATGATCATAACGGTACAAAGAAATATGCGAATTGTTTTTAATTTAAATAACATTGTCTGTTAAGTAAGTTCATAAAAGGACTTAATCAAAATTAACCGTAAACGAAATTGAATGTAGGATAGTTGTTATATACTGTTACTCGGAAAAGACGGTTAAGGGGTTTCAGCCTATGAATAGTCAAGTAAATAATGACTGTCATCTAATTAATATTATTGATTTAGTGCAGTTATTATCTATGTTTACCAATTTAATCCTGTCAAAACTAATATATAGCTGATGAAGTGTGAAAGCAAATTAGCCATACTTATTATAATAATTGGAGTTATTATTATTATTATTATTATTATTATCACACCATCGTTCCATGAGAGTGATCAATACAATATTGATTCTCGATATTTATTAAGGCGCACAAAACAAAATTTCCCTACAATCATAATTCATATTCAAGTCATTGTTTAATTGGAATGTTTATTTATTAAAATAAATTATTCACTTACATTTTTCTTGTATTAAGATTATTAAAATAGGTCATTATGATAATTAAATTGATTATTTTATGCATTTGAGATGATTTAAGAAGTTAATTTTAGAAATATAAAGTGATGCATAAGAAATTTCGACGTGACTCTAATTTATGGACGAGCCAATCAGAAACATTTGAGAGATTTCAAGGTCACGGCACCAACATCAGTATTTAATGCTAACGTACGATCGGTTCACAGGGAATTTTTGTACGAAACGTGATAATTGAGAGGCTATAACAAATAAAACGGTGAGACTATAATTTGGTGGACGAATCAATCAGGTATGAGCTAACGGATCTCGGATTTTGGCGCGAAAACCTTTCATCCATTTGCCTAAATAAATTTCTGACATTATAGCTTATGTCAATTCGTGATGAAAACCCTATATATAATCCCTAACTAAGACAACTTATGACAATTATTGAGAATTGGATAATAAAAGCTCTGGTAACACTGGCTGCAGTCAGGTACTACACTATATACGGATGATTGGAGAGCAAACAGACTCCTACATAGGGTTGGTTATGTGCATCGTGTCGTTATCCAAAAGTGGGATTTTGTGCACTCAACAACCGGAGTGCACACAAGCAATATTGAAGTTATGTGGTCGAGTCTGCAAGAGTTTTTAAGACTTTATTATGACTCCAGAAGTCGACTATTCTGTAGCCATATGGATGATTTCCTCTACTGTATGCATGACGATTTTAGAACCTCTGAACCTCTTTCTAACCTTGACAATTTTTTGAACCACGTATGAGAAGTGTATCCACTTTATTTTTTGGTTTTGTGTAACATATTTTTACTCTATACTTTCTGTTTGCTGATTGGCTAATATTTCTCAAGGTCATTTAAGTTTCGTTTGGAGGTTATCCATGAATTATTGTCTCGCCGAAATTTCTAATTTAGTAAATAGGAAAATGTACAAATTCTTAATTGTGATGATTTTGATGGAGTTTTGTTCTCTGACCTGGGTAGTTTGGTCTTGCAGCTTTCATGATGATGCCGAAATTTGCATTATAAATTTTTTTCTTTTCAAAAACAGTAATTTGCTGAAACCATTAAATTCAAATAAAACAAAAATTGGAATAGTTGAATTCATGAATCAATTGAATCTAGACAACCAAGGAAAACCTGGAAGCACTAGACGGCCGTTTCATCCTAATATGGGACTTTTCATGAATTCAACTATTAAAATTACTATTATATCCACATCCACTCTCAACTCCGCCTGGAGTCCCTCCGGGGGCTACTGCCGGTCCCAAGCCCGGATAAAGGAGGAGGGTTGGGCATGGGGTTAGCGTCCCCATCCCGTAGAAAACTAACTCGCTAAAAAAACGCTAACCAGAAAAAATTATTCAAACCTTTTAAACTCTGCCCTGGGAGTCAGAAGGTCTTCATTTAGAAGAATTATGACGCCTCATGATGAAAGCCGAATTCCTTCGGAAGTTACGAGGCCGATGCCCCTTCTGACAACCAGAGCAACCATTTATTTAGGTACATGGAATGTTCGTACAATGTGGGACACCGGAAGAGCCTTCCAAATTGCTGCAGAAATGAGAAGATACAACCTAGAGGTACTTGGGATCAGTGAAACACATTGGACACAAGTTGGACAACAACGACTAACTACAGGAGAGCTCCTGTTATACTCCGGCCATGAAGAAGAAAATGCACCACATACACAAGGAGTTGCATTGATGCTGTCCAAACAAGCGCAAAATGCACTTATAGGATGGGAATCTCATGGACCAAGGATCATCAAAGCCTCGTTCAAAACAAAGAAAGAGGGCATTTCAATGAACATCATCCAATGCTATGCGCCTACCAACGACTACAATGAAGACGCTAAAGATCAATTCTACAATAGGCTGCAGTCAATCGTCGAGAAGTGCCCAACAAAGGACCTGACCATTCTGATGGGAGATTTCAACGCCAAGGTTGGAACGGACAACACTGGATATGAAGACATCATGGGACGACACGGACTGGGAGAAAAGAACGAAAATGGTGAGAGATTTGCAAATCTATGTGCCTTCAATAAGCTGGTCATAGGCGGCACCATATTCCCACATAAACGCATACACAAAACCACATGGACTTCACCGGATCACTCTACACAAAACCAAATCGACCATATTTGCATCAACAAAACGTTCAGGAGGACTATAGAGGACGTGAGAACCAAGAGAGGAGCTGATATAGCATCAGATCATCACTTGCTGGTCGCCAAGATGAAATTGAAACTCAAGAAGCACTGGACAACGGGGCGGACAATATCACAAAAGTTCAATACGGCCTTTCTTCAGGATACTAACAAACTCAACAAATTCAAGATAGTCCTCAGCAACAAGTTCCAGGCCTTTCATGATCTACTCAATGGAGAAGGAACTACTGTGGAGAGCAACTGGAAGGGGATCAAAGAGGCAATCACTTCAACATGTCATGAGGTCCTGGGTCACAAGAAGCACCACCACAAGGAATGGATCACTGTTGATACACTGGATAAGATTCAAGAAAGAAGGAACAAGAAGGCAGCAATCAATACCAGCCGAACAAGAGCAGAAAAAGCCAAGGCACAAGCTGAATACACGGAAATAAACAAACAAGTGAAGAGGAGCATCAGAACCGACAAACGTAAATATGTGGAAGATTTAGCAACGACGGCGGAAAAGGCTGCAAGAGAAGGAAACATGAGACAATTGTATGACACGACAAAGAAACTCTCTGGAAATCGCCGCAAACCAGAACGACCAGTGAAAAGCAAGGAAGGCGAGGTAATCACCAACATTGAAGAGCAACAAAACAGGTGGGTAGAACACTTCAAAGAACTCTTGAATCGACCAGCTCCACTGAACCCACCCAACATCGAAGCAGCACCCACGGACCTCCCAATCAATGTTGGCCCACCAACAATTGAAGAAATCAGCATGGCCATCAGACAAATCAAGAGTGGCAAAGCAGCAGGACCGGACAACATCCAGCAGAGGCACTAAAAGCAGACGTAGCGGCAACTGCAAGGATACTCCACATTCTCTTCAATAAGATTTGGGATGAGGAACAAGTACCAACAGACTGGAAAGAAGGACTTCTGATCAAAATACCGAAGAAAGGCGATCTCAGCAAGTGTGATAACTACAGGGGCATCACTCTTCTCTCAATACCGGGAAAAGTCTTCAACAGGGTATTGTTAAACAGGATGAAGGACTGCGTAGACGCCCAACTTCGTGACCAACAGGCAGGATTCCGTAAGGATAGATCGTGTACAGACCAAATCGCAACTCTACGGATCATTGTGGAACAATCAATTGAATGGAATTCATCACTCTACATCAACTTCATTGACTACGAAAAGGCATTTGATAGCGTGGACAGAACAACACTATGGAAACTTCTTCGACACTACGGCGTGCCTCAGAAGATAGTCAATATCATACAGAACTCATATGATGGATTACACTGCAAAATTGTGCATGGAGGACAGTTGACAAAGTCGTTCGAAGTGAAGACCGGTGTTAGGCAAGGTTGCTTACTCTCACCCTTTCTCTTTCTCCTGGTGATCGACTGGATCATGAAGACGTCAACGTCTGAAGGGAAGCGCGGGATACAATGGACATCTAAGATGCAGTTGGATGATCTAGACTTCGCAGACGATCTGGCCCTTCTATCCCAAACGCAACAACAGATGCAGGAGAAGACGAACAGTGTGGCAGCAGCCTCAGCAGCAGTAGGTCTCAATATACACAAAGGGAAAAGCAGGATTCTCCGATACAACACAGAATGCACCAATCCAATCACAATTGACGGAGAAGATTTGGAAGATGTAAAAACCTTTACATATTTGGGCAGCATCATTGATGAACAGGGTGGATCTGATGCAGATGTGAAGGCGCGGATCGGCAAAGCAAGAGCAGCATATTTACAACTGAGGAACATCTGGAACTCAAAGCAACTGTCAACCAACACCAAGGTCAGGATTTTCAATACAAATGTCAAGACAGTTCTACTGTATGGGGCAGAAACCTGGAGAACTACAAAAGCCATCATCCAGAAAATACAGGTGTTTATTAACAGTTGTCTACGCAAAATACTTCAGATCCATTGGCCGGACACTATTAGCAACAACGTACTGTGGGAGAGAACAAACCAGATCCCAGTGGAGGAAGAAATCAGGAAGAAGCGCTGGAAGTGGATAGGACACACATTGAGGAAAGCACCCAACTGCGTCACAAGACAAGCCCTCACATGGAATCCTGAAGGTCAAAGGAAAAGAGGAAGACCAAAGAACACATTACGCCGAGAAATGGAGATAGACATGAGAAAAATGAACAAGAATTGGATGGAACTAGAAAAGAAGGCCCAGGACAGAGTGGGTTGGAGAATGCTGGTCAGCGGCCTATGCTCCATTGGGAGTAACAGGCGTAAGTAAGTAAGTAAGTAATCCACTTCTCATTATAATCATCATATGCTCACTAGTGAGGTATTTCCTGGAGTATTAGTGAGAAGCCGTGTCAATGGAGTTCAACCGGATCGGTTGTGGGATGGTAACTCACTGATGACATTAACACAGTTGAATGCCGGTAGGCTCAGTGGTCTAGCGGTTAAGCGCCTACGTGCGAGTCTCGTAGGCCTTGGGTTCGAATCTCATGAGGTGGGATCATAGATGCGCACTGTTGAGGAGTCCCACACTTGGACGAGACAGCCGTCCAGTGCTTTCAGGTTTTCCATGATGGTCGTGCTTCAATTGACTTATGAATTCAACTATTAAAGTTACTATAATATTCACAAAACCCCTCTCTGATTAAAACAAATTAGAATTCAAAAGGATATCGGTCAAATTATGATTTATTTTAATTTGTATTACATGATACTTTATGAAAGTGTATTGATGTAGTTGTCTTGAATGATAATAAAATGTTTCCAAATTAAAATACTAATTTGAATATTTAAGAAATAAATAAATAAGCCGCAGTTTTTGTGTAGTCATAAAATGAGTTTAGCTCTTACAGGTTAAGCGTTCACGTATGAGGCCGAAGGTTCTAAGTTTGAATCTTGCTTGCAGGATCATGGATGCACACTTCTGAGGAGTCATGTATTGGGACGAAACAGCTGTCCAGTTTTTTCGGGTTTACAATTATGGTCTAACATTGATCGGTTCGTGATCTAAATTAAAATACTAAAATAGTTGGTCAGTCACTCCAACTTCAACATAAGTATAAGCTTATGATTTAAACAAAAGTGTAGAATATAAATTTTGTTTGGTTTTATAAATAGTTCTGTCCGAAATGATGATAGAACCTTTATTAATACAAGTCATCATTTAATAAGAAATAAAAATTGATAGATTTCTCGGCAGGAGTAAGATTCATAGACGAGTAATCAGATTTAAGTTGAACTTTGAATGTTATCTCTGAATTTACTCAACTGTATGAACAAATAGCAGCTCAATCTTTAATTTCCAACCGTAACTTTGAAATCTAATTCTTAATTCTAATTCTTTACAATAATTTATATCCTTATTGTGAGACTAGTAAGTAGTTGAAGTCTCTCATGATCACTTTAGTGTCGTTTAAAAGTCACCAATAAATTATAGTCTGACCGATTTCTTATAAAGATACTGCTGATCAAAACAATGATATTAAACATATATCGGTTGAAGCTATTAAATCAGTATAAAAGTAAATCACTTTCGAAATCTCTTCAATCTGTTTCGAGGAAAAAGTTTCAATCCTTTTTTCTGGGGGGGGGTACAAATACATTATCTTCCAAACTTAAATCTACTCTAACGATCTTTCGCACACTTAAATGAGTTGAGTTGTATGATACTTGATTATTCTCTTATTATTATGTAATCCCTCCGACTACCATTGCTTTTACTTGGCCTTAAGTTTAATTGGTTTTCAAAAGTTTACAAAAATCAACATCTTTTAAGAAGTGAGTTCACACAACTCGGTTCATCATAATAAAGTATGTCTTTAAAAAATTGTTGCTTATCTCTTAGAGATTTTCTTCTTCAAAGTGAATATGTAATATTTATTGAAGGCTTCATAAAAGTAAATTCATCTGAAGATTATTTGTATTGGGTTTTGAAATTGTTGAGTTTAAATTAATATCATGGATGGATCGATGCTAGGTCACTATTGAAAACCTAGAAGAGCTAGACAGTCGTTCCGTCCGAGTATGAGAGTCCTCAGTAGTGCGCATCCACAATCCCGCACACAAACTGTTAGATAACCGATTTTTTATTAAGTTTCATAATTAAAAACGTCTATTCTTTATTTCATGTTATTACATAAACTAACTGTGAATGTTTTTTGCAAGCAATGATGGATAGTGGCTAGCGGTGGAATCCAGGATGCTCGTTTCGTCCTGTTTGGGACTCATCAGCTGGATGTACCTGCATCTGAGTTGATGTTCACTCTGGGACTCGAACCCAGTACCATTCGCCTCAAACGCCATCGCGTTATCCAAATAGGACGGAATGTGCGTCCTGGATTCCACCGCTAGTCATTATCTATCATTGCTTACAAAAAGCTTGTGAATTAAGGCAATGTCGAGGCATACGCACAGTACGCACATATGCCAATAACAGACTGATCAATTGCAGTCTTAAACCTCAATGGGAAGATACAAGCCAAACAATACCAAGGGATTAACTGTGAATGTATTTATATCGACATATTTTCAGGGGGTTTTTTTTGGACAAAAGTACCAGACGTTAGTTTTGTTCAAATTAGTAATCTTTATTGTGTTTTTTTATTAACATTTATAGTCTAATTAATTAAATTTTGTTATTATATTGACGATAATTTAGATTGATCATATGGAACAACCTAACACATTCAATGCATATGGAGATCCTTTAGGTGATAGTTTCTGTGGAACAGCTGGATTAAAATTACGAATGGATTCTGAACAAGTTATGAAACAAGTGACTGAATTTGCAACTTTAGGTTTACGTACATTAGTTATGGGTATACGATTAATCACTATTAAAAAATGGAATGAATTAAAAACTAAACTTGATAAAGCAAGAAGTATAGTGAATGAAGGACGTCAAAAAGAATTAATTACAGCTTATAATGAAATTGAAAAAAAGCTTACATTAATTGGATGCACTGGTATAGAGGATATGCTTCAAGATGGTGTTCCTGAAACTATAAAAGCACTTCGAGAAGCTGGAATTAAAGTTAGTTTGATGTTATTTTTTTATTGTTACTTCAAAATTAAATCATATTTTGTTTGTTTAAGAATACCTTCACATTCTATCTTATATTTTATACAAGTAATGTTTTAGGAGTTAAATGAATATTCTCTAGCAAGCATTAGTCTTTTTCGAATTTCATTCACTCACAACTTACGTCTGTTACTCTTCGTAGAAGAGCATAGACCATCCACCAACACTTTTCATCCAACCTTGTCTTGGGCAATCCTTTCCAGCTCTTTCCAGTTGTTATTCATCATTTTCATATCTGCTTCTATTTCCCGACGTCATGTGTTCATTGACCTACCTCTTTTCCGTTTCGCTTCAGGATTACAAGTTAGGGCTTGTCTTGTGATGCAGTTAGATGATTTCCGTTGTATATGTCTTATCCAGTTCCATCGTCTATTCCTAATTTCCTCTTCATTTGAAAGCTGATTTGTTCTCTCCGACAGTAGGCTGCTGCTGATGATATCTGGCCAATGGATGTTGAGTACCTTGCGTAGATAACTATTTATAAATACTTGTACATGTTTGACGATGGTTGTAGTAGTTCTCCAAGTAAAAAAATCCTATAAAATAAGAAATATATTTTTTGTTATATCCTAATGAGTAGAAAAATTGTATTTTTGACGTTTTGTAACTTAATGTAAGCTACTTCTTCAAAGTAAATAAACAATTGAATTAAGTTCTTGTTTACTTTGAAGAAGTGGCTTACGTTAAGTTACAAAACGTCAGAAATACAGTTTTTTTCTATTGATTGGGATATAACGGAAAGTACATTTATCATTAATTTTCTACTCAATCCTCAATTCATTTGAAACTATGCAGTTCAACCTTGGCATTGATACCTTAATAAAAAATCTTAGGAAAATATAAAATTTCATTTCTAAAAGTTTGTTGGATTCTAAAGATCTAAAGTTTTCCAACTATTAATTACTCGTTTGTAAAGTATTTAAGTTTTTATTGGAGATCGCGAATTGATCAATTTTAGACCGTCATTGAAAATCTGGGATCATTGGATACCCTTTTCTTCTAGTATGGAGCTTCTCAGGGATGTGCATCTACAATTCCACACATGGGATTAAGAATTTGAACCTCCGGTCTCTCGCTCGAACGCTTAACCTGTAGACCACTGAATCGTTATCCAACGGTGTTGATATGGTATACCGTATCAATAACAGTAAATTGACTAACTGCTATAATAATGGCGGCAAAATAATACTGACAATTATCTCAAAGTAAAATGTCAGTTACAACTACGTTACTTTTAAATCGGTATATCAGTATTAAACTTTTGTTTAATTGCCAAATTCTTGTGAACTACTTATTCTCTTTTAGTTAAACAATATTTATCAACTTTGTCTTTTTGTTAGTAGCTGGAAAAACAACTCCTAGAACATTAAAACTCAGCTGAAAACCTTCATTGTTTTATTTACTAGACTAAGAATATTAGATGTGATAAGTGAATATATTATAGTACCCTTTGGACTTAGATCTCATTTCTTTAGGGTAGATGAATAACCCTAAAAATTCTAACCGAATGTTAGATGGGTCAAAATAGTTGGTGTGAAACCCTGGACATAAATTTCGTGCTGATTGACACTCTCCACCAAAATGTTTACATGTAATCTTGATGGAATCGATCGATTCGTATCTTTGTCACTTAATCTCACATTCTGAGATGTTACCACTAAGTTCATTCGATATATTTACACTTTGAAACTAAAATTAGTATGGTTGGACCATTTTAATCAATACTGATTCCTACGAATGTCCAGATTACATCATTCAGTTTATTGTTGACTACATTAACGAACATTATATTTTTTAAGCTATTATTTGAATAACAGAATACTTTCAGTGAGCCGAATACTGGTAAGCGTTTTTTAGCGAGTTAGTTTTCTACGGGATGGGGACGCTAACCCCATGCCCAACCCTCCTCCTTTACCCGGGCTTGGGACCGGCAGTAACTCTGGAAGAGCTACAGGCGGAGTTAGTGAGCAGAATGATAAGAAATAAATAAAACGATATGCTACTATACGGTGTACTGAAGTTTGCTTGAAAGAAGCCAGATATATTTAGCTCCCATTTGAACTGATAGTAACATCATCTTAATTAAAACTTTTATTTATCATTGTTGTTTTATTTAACCAAATTATTTTTAGATATGGGTACTTACAGGTGATAAAGAAGAGACAGCTGTTAATATTAGTTATGCAGCTGGACATTTTTATCCTGGTATGCAAGAAATTCGTGTTACCAATTTTGATGATACAGTGAAATGTGGAAGTTTTTTAAAAAGTCAAATTGAACGTATCAAAGAATCGAAAATTTATGATGCTGATACACAATTCGGAGTTGTTATAGACGGTCAATCATTAAACTATGCTCTTGTGGTAAGTAAACGTATTAACAGCATCTTTATCTTAATGTAATTAAAATAAAAATTTGTTTATTGTCTGGTATTTTAAGTATTGACTTGACTCCAATTAAGATTAAAATTGGATTCTATCAAACGAAAAAGAACATCATACTTAAGTGATGTATATTAGTACTGTGGTGAGTGTTACATATGTCGACATAAGTAGTATATAATATCAGTCAGGAATAGAATGTCTGGTAGTAGAAGATTGAGAAGATCAAGAAGGGAAGAATGGGAACAGAAAGCAATTGGTATGAAATTGCAGGAACAATGAAGTTTGAGAAATTAATGATCAATTTGCAAATGAAGTAGTGGAGTATGGTTTTTTTTATTTTATCAAGTAACTCTTTAATTTTATGCGAAATATGATCGGTTGTACTCAGCTGTGTTCTCCTTCGCTGCAGTACTTTTATTCATAATTAAATTATTTGTGATGAATATATTTTGTATTAATATTGAACAGGCTGTAAGAATAAATAATTCAATACATCTGTATAGTCAGAGAGGGGTTTTGTGGATCGCATAGTAATATAATTAGTTGAATTCATGAGTCAATAGAAAATAGACTACCATGGAAGACCTGGAAGCACTGGACGGCTGTCTCGTCCTAGTGTGGGACTTTTCAGCAGTAAGCATCCATGATTCCGCCCCGCGATATTCGAACCCAGAACCTATCGGACTCGCACGCGAGCGCTTAACCTCTAGAACGCTGAGCTGGCCGGAATCCAACAGTGTTATTGTCTAACTTCAACCAATCCACGAAATTGCGCCACCGTATACCATTGTTTTCAGTGAGTTACTATCTCACAACCAACGCGGTTGAACTCCACTGGTCACTGCCTCTCACTAGAACTCCAGGAAATACTTCACAAATGAGCATATGATGATCATAATGAGAGAGATTTTTTTGATGTTATAGTAATTTAATAGTTGAATTCACGAGTCAGTAGATGTTCACTTCTGAGGAGTCCCATACTTGGAGGACTCGGCCGTCCATTGCTTCCAGGTTTTCCATGGTTGTCCAGCTTCAATTCATTCATGAATTCAACTATTAAAAATCTGTATAAGCTAATATTTCATTAATATGGTTCTTTGTAGATACATTAGTGTGTGTTAATCCTGGTTTTTTACAGCTCATCAATCTTGATTTCTAATTTAGTAAACTGGTTTATTTTGATTGCGCCATAATCTTTTATTATAATTAATTTAGATAATTCAACATTAATTTATTCATTTCAGTATTCGTTATAAGAAATAAATAAATAGGCAGTAATTTATGAAGTTTATCATCTGTCCCCTTATTTACAATTTTATTAAAATTTCTATACTTTTTCTGTACAAGTTACCCTATGTCACTGACAATCAAAGAGGTAAAATAGACTATGATTACAAATCCTAATTTCTAAACATTAATCCGTTTCAGTAGTTGAAATCGTGAGTCAATTTAAGCTAGACTATGATGGAAAGTCTGGAAGCACTGGACAGCTGGCCGTTTCGTCCCAGTATGGGACTCCTCAGTGGTGCACATCCACGATCCCGCCCTCAGCGAGATTCGAACCGAGGACCTATATGTTTGTTAATATTTGATATATTGATTACAGACATTTATTTAAAATCACTGGATGATCACAGTGTAGTAATCCAAGTGGCATTTGTCTAATGTCGTGTGTTAACTAGATTCTATCAATCAATAGTAGTAATGATCCAAGTGAATTAACTGTAACCTAAAACCTGTTTTAATGATTTGTATTTAGAAAACAGATGGAAGAAATTGTTGAATATAGGTTAATTAACACTCATTAGTAAGATGTATTAGAGATCATGGGTAAGTTAATAACTCATTTGGGATCTGGGTCAGCTGATACAGAACAATGACAAATGCTAACTAGTAAGAAACCTAGACTTAGAGCTTCAAACTAATTGTCTCAAACTATTTTAAATCAGCTGCATGAAATATATAACACGTTAACGTATGTATGTACAGATGGATGAATGGATATACATGTTTTCTGTATGATTTACTCTGAGAAGTGTGTGATGATACTTGTCTGAATGAAATCATCTGCATTTATTACTAGATTTAGTTAAACTCGAATAAGATTAATCTGATGAATATGATCATTTACAGAATCAAAACATGAGATTTCAGGAGGTGTGTAAAAAGATCACATACTGAGGTAGACAATCTTTATTTTTTCTCAATTGAATCAAACATTTCTCTGAGGGTTGTAAATATTACAAAAATGATGCAATCCTAAGATGAACGTCAATCTTTTATGTTGATAGAAGCATCATCAAGTGCATTTGATCTCATACACCGTATCAATGATTGTTAGTAAGGTGAATTGAATAAAAATCGTCTATGCACACAATTCTATCAAATTATTCATGGTTATGGAAAATTGTGTTTAGAAAATGATAGTGACTAGTAGTTTGCTAAAAAATAATCAGACACTGAGTACTTTCATAGATGTATTGAACAACTGAAACTATAACAATAAGACGTACTTCTTTTGTACGCATAGTTCTGGTTTAAGCTCCTGGATGGTAAGAGCTTCGGCTATTTTTAAGAGCTGGATACGAAGAAATCTGGGTAGATTTGAATAAATCAATATAAACAATCCAGGAGCTTAAACCAGAACTATGCATACAAAAGAAGCACGTCTTATCGTTATCGTTACCTTAGCCTTAATTAACTGAAACTATGTTGGAAATATTAATAATGTACCATAAGTTTTGTAACTAAAGTATTCATAATCAAATCCCGTGTAATAGTTGGATAGAATAGTAGAATAGGTAATAAATTCTTTTATTTATTTGATGAAGATAATAAATCATTCGGTAATTAAATCATTATTATTATCAGTAACCTATCTAATTCATGGTTGTATCGATATTGAACTCAAACATATTTGGAAGTAAAGATGGATGGTGGCTAGCAGTGGAATCCGGGACGCTCATTTCGTCCTATTCGGTACTCGTCAGCTGGATGCACCTGCATTCCAGAGTTGATGTTTACTCAGGGTCTCGAACGCCACTACTAACCACAAACGATCTTTGCTTAAAGAGCTCGTGACTGGGCTATATCGAGGCAATTCGTACAGGATGTACATATGCCAACAAGAGACTGATCAATTGCAGTCCTAAATAACAATCGGAAGATACAAGTAAAATATATTTAAAAGTATCAACAACTTCACTCTAAGGTAGTGTAACATATGATTGTGTTCTCTAGTTTATAAGTAACATACAATACTCAAAAGTATCATTCTTAATTATTTAAGTTAATATTGTTCATTCAGTTCGTGATTTATTATTATAATCTCACAGTGAATTTCTCATTGCCCAGAAAAAGTGTATAAATACTATGCATAAGTTATTTTAGTAAATATAGTATATTTCAGATCAAAATATTTTGCTTTTTGTGGCCTATTGATGATCTGACTCTTATTTGATCGTATGATGATGTTAACAAAATATATACATGTTGTCAACCCTTGTATATAATTATCGACTGAATTCAGGTAAGAGAATAATAATCACTTACTTACGCCTGTTACTCCTAATGGAGCATAGGCCACCGACCAGCATTCTGCAACCCACTCTGTCCTGGGCCTTCTTTTCTAGTTCCATCCAATTCTTGTTCATTTTTCTCATGGCTATTTCCATTTGTCGGCGTAATGTGTTCTTTGGTCTACCTCTTTTCCTTTGGCCTTGAGGATTCCATGTGAGGTCTTGTCTTGTGACGCAGTTCGGTGCTTTCCTCAATGTGTGTCCTATCCACTTCCAGAATAATAATGGAATAAGTCAAATAAAAGAATGAATTTTAAATATTTATATTTCATACACTCATTGTCAGAGACAGACAGAGAAAAGAAGCGGAAACTGAGACTGGAGAAGGCAAGTGTGTTGACTAGTTTTGATCAAGTATGACTCAATATATTATAGCCATATAAGAATAAGCTTAAGACATGTTAAATAGGGTAAGCGATACATACATAAATCCTCATGCAAAAACAGTCAAAGTTAATAAGAGAATAATCTACAGGATTAAAGTGTGATTCAAGTAGAATAAAAAAAAGATCGATGAGACTATGATTTATGGAAGACCTTTGAGCGACACTAATTCGACTTTAAGAACTGTCACCTACTTATCAGTGTCACATGAGTGTTATAAACCAATGTGGAGAATTATAATTATGATTTATAATTGATGGTTTAGGTTAGGAATTAGATTTAGGGTTTTCATCACGAATTAACATCAAATAAACTGTCAAAGCTCTATTTAGCTAAATGTATGAATGAATTTCGAGCCTGTTATCCTAAATCTTGATAGGTTCATCAATAAATTATAGTCTCGTCAAATATTTAGTTCGAAAACTAGAATAACTCCAATGGCTTCAGCTATATGTAGAAGGTGGAAACGAACTCCGTTGGGAAATGATGGAGGTATACGATAGATCACTAGAAATGATTTCGATTTATCTACAGCATGACCGCTATCAATGAGATGTGCCAAGATAGAATTGCGAATTGTTTTTATCTGGCCCTTTGTATAAACCAAGTTGGTAGGTGTTCACTCATTCGTTGGTTAATGTTGTGACGTGTGACTGCAGATTAGAGTGAGGCGTTTTATCGATCGCTTTATTGACACGTAAACACGTACGGACGGCCTAGAGTCTCGATTGGTCTCGCTTCCCTGTCTAGCCCAGCCAGTTGAGTCCAGAACACAAATCTCAGCCTCTGAGTTCTGAATCATTATATTTCAGACATACTCTATTTATATACCAATCAACCAGACCACATCGTACCATAAAATAGAAAACAACATTTGTACAATATTTAACAAGTGGAATAAAATACTGACCAATAGGAAGTGTACATTTAAAGTTCAAGGCCACTATTAGACTTAACATGATAATTATTGGTATATTTTTCTGCACATCCTAACAGTTAAGTTGCCTGGTAGTACGCCCGATATAGCTATCTCCACAGGAGCAGCTAAATTTGTAAATGCACATTGAAGAGGTCAACTCAAGTAACTTATCCTTCGTTTGCGTAGACATCACTGATCGATAAGAGAAAGTCAACGCAAGATTGGCTGCGTAGAATGTCCTTGTGATTACTTTCGTTAACCTATATTTCAGAGTATCACTAGCTACATCCCAGTTGAATTGTAGTTTCATGTATAAAAATTTCTTACGAACAGTCGAAATCTCCGACTTCTTTATTATATCATACATGCACTTCTTAATGAAAGCACTGGGGTAGCCGATCTCAGTCAGCGAGTTGTTGATGAATTCAAGCTCCTGACTTAGATTGTCTACTGTACAGATCTTTTTTAGTTCTGCTAAGGAGACATCTAACCATATTTTTCTTGTAGGATAACAAATCAAAAGTGATATTAAATATAATCATTTTACTATTTTAAATACAATCAACCGTTCAGTCAAGTTCCTCGTTCATTTTTTTAAAATATTTTCTACTTTATCATAGGAACCAATAAGATCATTAGTTACACAATGTTGTCTTGAATCATCATCAGCTAAACTGTCAAAATGCTATTTAGCAAATGTATGAATGAATTTCGAGCCTGTTATCCTAAATCTTGATAGGTTCATCAATAAATTATAGTCTTGTCAAATATTCAGTTCGAAAACTAGAATAACCCATATGAGCTTGACATAATACTCTAGACACAACATGACAAATCCAAAAAAAGTGATGTTAAATATAATTATTTTAATCTCGCAATAGTGCACGCAGTGTCGAGTCCCCTAGGCTGGTGACTACATTGCATCATAGTCCATAGCATTCAATCTGCACTAAATAACGACTTCACATGCATTACATCATTGATCAACACCCAGTGATAAATCAACTGCGATAATTATTTTACTATTTTAAATACAATCAATCATTCAATCAAGTTCCTCACTCATTTTTTTTAAAAAATATTTCCTATTTTATCAATAGGAACCAATAAGATCATTACTTACACAATGTTGTCTAGAATCATCCACTGTATTATGTTGTCGTTCAACACCATTACAAAAAGCTGAAGTTATACGTTTAATTAAAGAAAGTCGTAAAACAATACCAATTACAGCTGCTATTGGTGATGGTGCAAATGATGTATCTATGATATTAGAAGCACATATTGGTTTTGGTATTTATGGTAAAGAAGGTCGACAAGCAGTACGTGCATCCGATTATGCATTTGGACGTTTTCATTATTTAAAAAATGTATTACTTGTACATGGACATTTATATTATCAACGTGTATCATTATTAGTATTATATTTTTTTTATAAAAATTTAATATTTACATTACCACAAATGTTATATGGTTTCTATTGTGTTTATTCACAACAATCTATATATCCACAATTTATTTAATTTTATTTAATTTAATTATGACATCATTACCAATATTTTTATATGGAATTTTTGAAATCTCTATACCGAAATCAATTTTATTAGAATTTCCTATTTTATATCAAAATATAGCTAGAAATTATATTTTATCTAAGAAACATTTTCTTATATGGATTAGTTTAGCTTGTTGGCATGCATTTATTATATTTTTTGGTACATATTTTTTAAGTTTTCAAGGTCAAGCAAATGATTATGGTTACTCAAAATTAAGTAATCTTATATGTTTTGGTAATTTTATTATTTTGATAATATTTCTTGTTGTAAATATTAAAGTACTACTGATAAGTTACTACTTAAATTGGATTATATTATTAATATGGAATTTAGCAATTATTATAAATATTTCAATCTTTTTAATATGTAATGATGTATTATTTCCTACAGAACTTGGTAAACAATTATATGGTACATATACAATTATCTTTACTGGGTCTGGTTGTGGTTTAATATGGTTTAGTATATTTTGTATAACATTATTAGCATTAATACCTGATTTAATTATACGTACTATTGATGATCAAAATTGGCAATGGAAATTAAATCATTTAAGAGAGGAATTAAAAAAGAAACAACGAGAATCGAAAATGCATACAAGAACATCAATTCGAGTATCAATTATGTCAAAACAATATGATGAATTAGATGATATTGAAGAAAAAGATGAAGTGAGTTTATTATTATGGATTGTTGATATTATTTTTTTGGGAATTAGCATTCAATCTGCACTAAATAAGGACTTGACACAAATGATATTGATCATCACCCAGTGATCAATCAATTGTGATTACATCTCAGTCCTACAGGAGGTCGGTCGTGGCTCAAATAGCTCAGTGGTAATGTCTCTGACAGTCAAGCTGCGTGATACCGGGTCGAATCCGCCAGGGAGCACCAGTTCCCTCAAGATTACAGGCACACCTTTCTGACAAGTGCTAAGTATTATGAAACTCGGGTCCATGGTTTCCTGATGACTACCTGCAACCACCATCTAATCTCAATATATAGTGCAAGCAATGTCAAGTCACTTAGACTGGTGGCCATATTGCATCATGGTCGATAGCATTCGATCTGCACTAAATAAGGATTTGACACACATGACATTGATCACCACCCAGTGATTGAATTAGTTAATATTAATGTAATACAATATAACATGTTTATAACATCGAACTACTGTATTTCACATGGACGAATTTGATAATACATAACACAAATGAATATATTATGCAACAGACTGAATACACTAGATCACTATACTAGATGACAAAATAAACAGTTAGACTACTAGAATAGATCATGTGATACACAATTCTGATCCAACAGTTTACGATTATATAAAGCTGAATAATAGTTTATAATGCAACACTGTGAAATTTAAAACAGAAATCACAGTTACATTTAAAAAGTAGTCTATATATATTTATTAGAGCTGGAAATGACTTTCTTTATTCAGTTATCTATCACTGCTTGGGATATAATCGATCACACATAAATAAACACTTTTATTTTATTAGAGTAATGATCATTATTCAAGTTATAGTGTTGGGTTCTAACTTGTCACGGAATATATCATAGATTGAAGCTTGTTGAAAGCCAGGGATCGTAAATGGACACTTATATCCTGAAGGCTTGATTTATACAAAGGAAATCGAACATCGTAGTTGGTAGGTTTCCATTCATTTTGTAGATGACTTTGAACAGTGAATCTGTTTTGATTGAAACGACTTACAAGGTAGTTACTTATTAAGCTTCTTACCCATTCACTATTGTCTTTTTTCAACTGTTATAGATAATATTTCTGAACTCTCTTGGATAGAAAACTTATTGAAGGACTGATATACCTAAATCCACAAAGACAAATGAATTAATAAGTATACACGTAGTGAAAAACGAACACAATTTATTCTTTAGGTTTTCGTTAAATATAACTCGAGTGAATAATTATAACCCAAAGGTTGATCTGCACTTTTGTCACCCTTAAAATCAATACTCTTATAAATCATAACTTATTGATTATTTTGGCGATTTGAGGTTCATAGTCTCGTCAGCAAATCTTGACGGATATCCATCTTTCCTCAAGTATTTTTTTTCTTACAGGGTAGATTTTTCGTCTATGATATCATGACTGCAAATTCATTGGCTTTATCTGACAAGACATAAATAAATTCCTCTTTCTATTGATAAGGAATCAATCTGTAGAAGCTTGTTATGTGGTTTGTTTCATGAAAATCATCAAGCTAACCTAACTCATTTCACTAAACATTTTTCAGTCTATTTTTACTTGATAAATAATTTCTCAATTTCCTCTTTATTTCTTTTCTTTTTGTTTTTGTTTACAGAATATCTATGATTATACAAACCAAATTGTTGATGAATTACAAAGCCATCAAATAGATGATAAATCAATGTATTCATTACCAAATAATACATTAACTAATAAACCATCCATGACATATAATGATGATGATGATGATAAACCAACTAACATTTTAAATGTTTATGATGCAGTTTCATCGGATACAAACACATTGACAACAACTAATCCAAACCATATTAATACTCCTACTATACCAACAATTTATAATAATAATAATAATAACAATAATACAATTCATAATTCTAAAAGATATTCTTTAACAAATCATGTCACTATGCCTAATCCTATACAAATTAATTCGAATGCATTAAGTGTACCTAGGTTATATGAAAATAATGTTGACACTTTAAATGATAATAATCTTTTGACAAGATTTTAATTTTCCTTTTTTTCTTTCTTTTTCTTTTTTTTGAGAAATTTTTCTTTTATGTTATTTTCAAAGTTTTTCTTCTTATTCTTATGTCAATTGAAGTACATTAAATTGTGATAAAAAATGCATTTTTATTTTACATGTTATAATAGTACTAACAACAAACTTGTTTTATTTTTTAATTATCCTCTCAGATTATTGTTATTACTAATGACAATTATTATTATTATTATTATTATCATTATTTCTTGTTCAGGGATCTAATACATACACATATTACAGACTAAATAATGAATAATTTGTAAATCTAATTCTATTGTACAAAGAAAACATACTACTAATACTACTACTACTACTGCTACTACTACTACGAATACTGATACTACTACCACTAATACTGATAATACTACTACTTCTACTACTACTGCTACTAATTCTACTACTACTACTATTTTATTTTAGTAACCAATATGAATTGAATAAAATAATTTATATAATTTAACATTGTTTAACTATTCACTCTAATTCTATTTCAAGATTATATCCTTAAAACTAGAATACAGAGAGTAAGCGAGTGCGCGCGCAAGACAAAAAGAGACATGTTGAATCGTCTTCTTTTTTTTTTAAAAAAAAGCTCAATTGTTTCCCATTTCAATATACAGATCTTATATAGTAATCATCGTGTATACAAAAAAAAGAAAACTAAAACAACAAACAAAACAAAAACGAATCACTCATTGTGATATTGAATTCAATGTTCAATTTTCAATGTTATTGATTTATATATTTAATTATTAATAATAATGATAATAATAATAACAACAGATATAGATATCTTTTTACTGTATTGTTTATTTTATTTTATTTTCCATAACATTTTTTCTTTATAAATTATTCTTTAATTCATGTATATTATAATGCGTATAAATGTTTCTATCGATGTATGTATGTGTGAAACGTTTTTAGTAAATATTATTTTGTAAATTGAAATTTCATTCATATCAGAATGGGTCATTGTAGATATTATAGTAATTTCAATAGTTGAGATTATGTGTCAATTAAAGCTATACCACCATGGAAAACCTGGAAGCACTAGACGTCCGTTTCGTCTTATTGTGGGGCTCTTTAGCAGTGCGCATCCACGATCCCGCCTCCTCGGCGAGATTTGAACCCAGGGCCTATGAGACTCGCGCGCGAGCGCTTAACCTTTAGACCACTGAGCCGGCTGGCATCCAACAGTGTTAATATTTAACTTCAACTAATCCACGAAATCGAACGACATATTCACCGTTGTCATCAGTGAGTTACTATCTCACAATAGACCTGATTGAACTCCGCTGGGCAGTACTACGCGTTACAACTCTAGGAAATATCTCTTGAAGTCAGTCACTAGTGAGCATATGTTGATTCATATCAGAAGGGTTTTGTAGATATTATATTAATTTCAATAGTTGAGATTATGTGTCAATTAAAGCTATACCACCATGAAAAACCTGGAAGCACTAGACGGCCGTTTCGTCCTATTGTGGGACTCCTCAGCAGTGCGCATCCAAAAATTTATTTATCAAATAAGATCACGTAACAATCAAAGAATAAAGAATGAATGAGGGTAGATGAATATAAATGTATAGTTTGCGTAAATAATTTATTGGAAAGCAAAGTTTCTATTCTTTCCTTATCACTTGATTATTGAGTAATCTCATTTGGTAATTAAATTATTAATAGTTAAAACTCTTAATTTTCATAAAGTGTATTTATTGTCTCTGATCAATTTGATGATGAGCTTTTCTTTTTTTAAGTATCGGAAATTATTTGTTTCTAAGTGTAACAGTTATTTTTCTCTTTTTTTTGTCCGTGTAGCCATTATTTGTACTCGAAATTATTGAATTCGTTAGTAGTATAGGTGATTAACATCTTTAAGGAATATATATCCTTAGATTTTGGTTAATTCATATACTGAGATTTATTCATTTGAACAGATATTTCATTATACACAATAATATTGACTAAGAATTAGTGAGAATAATTGAGGATATTGAGTATTTGAATTTTATGTGATTTGGTTGATAACATTTGATCTGCACTAATAAGGACTTGACACACATGATATTGATCACCACCCAGTGATCAATCAACTCTGATTACATCTCAATCCTACAGGAGGTCGGTCACAGCCCAGTTGATGTTCACCTTAGGACTAATCAATTACAGTCCTAATCATCAATGAGAAGATTCAAATAACCAATACAAATGAAGTATCACAATGATAGTTTTAAAAATAATGTATATATAAAAGTACAAAACTTGTCACTAAGCACAAAATCGAACACAGAAGACAGTAAGCTGATAGCCTTAACCTACATGAATAACTTTTCGGGGATTAAAATCAGTTTTTTAGTCTTTATAAATATTTTTTCGATTATAGGTCTACAAAATCTCTACAATCTATCGATTATATACATATAATTGATATATATACGTTTTGTTCTTGTTCGCAGATTAAGTGAACTTGGGATAGCTTCAAACCTAGCACAATCTCTACAAATCATAAAACATAGCAACTGCAGAGAACAAACCAGTTATCACTGTCATAACGCTCGGTTTAACTTAGTCTAAAGTTATAACGGTTGGTTTTCCACGTTTACACGTATGGGGCATTAATTTACCTTAGACGAATATCTACACTAGATCCCCTCCTAGTGTCTATTCTACAGGACTTCAACACAACTCAGATCAAAAACACGTGATCAGCCTGACTACAACGTATATATGTATTTCCATACCAAAAACCCGACACAATCCAACAACAATGAACAATTAATAATAAGTGAGTCATAATAATAAGGATAGGGGAATATATAACTCATCTGACACCTGTCAGACTATCTACATTTCTGACTAAGCAGACAACCAATCATTATCATTCTTGCCCACAAATCAATCACATATAACATAAGATGTAGGGGTAAACAACTAACTCTATTCTCAAAATATTTTGACTATCATAACATAGTACGCTGGCATTAAGTAGTTTTAGTGAATTGTACATCAAAACTATATCACCTTGATTACATGATCTAATTAAAGAATTGAAAAAGATATTTAGAATTTCAATCATTTTATTATTTTTTTAAAGGAAACTTCAATTGATTAGTTCATATCAAGACTGCTGTTACACATACTTTTATACAATCATCCTGTTGCATAACCTGGTATATACTCTCTATTAAATTTATCAAATAATGGAATCGGTGGTAATATATTACGAAATTTTGGTTGTTTATGTATTGCTGAACTATTTTCATCTTCTGATGCACGAAAATGTTTTGTACCATACGGTATTGAACCGTACACAGATGTTGTCCATAATGAACGTTCATATGGTGTTGTTGGTGGATGACCAGTGTAGAAACTAATTCAATGAACAATGAAAAAAATGTAAATTAACATAAGAATATATAGAACTGTGTCAAGTCGTTTTATCTCATGTCATGTCAGTAACAACGTAGAACTTCGTACGTACGTACATCAGTTCGAGTTGCTACACCACATTAGCACAGAGATGCAGTGGTCGATTCAAATCCCGTAGTTCTAGTAGTAAAATTATCTAACTAACAGTTATCATTTCAATAAGGAAACCTTCCGCCTATATATATATATATATATAGGGTACTTGAAAGCCAATTGACGGAGTAAACAAGAATCATGTTCAACATGATCTGTTGATAATTGATAACTATCAAATATTCATAGTTGTTCAATATTTTCTTAAGGAATCAGGTATAGATTCTAGTCAAGACGTTTAAATTGTAATATATATGATTTGATGGTCTATATAAATGCGCGACAGATAATGTTTACTCAGCTAGTGTTCAAAATGCTTAAGTGTGTTGACTTTTTATCATGTGAATATTGTATAGCAGGCTATGTTGTTCGTGTACTTATTGTTTCATGATGTAGACACGACTATCAATCATTAGCATTCCATTTACAGACTACTTGATTGGATTTTGAACAATTATGTCAGTCAATAGTTGAAAATGTGTAACAAGAATTAAAACCGATCAAAATGATGTAGAAGTATCCATTTTAATCTTTCCATTTCATCCAATCAGCGTTCACTTGAAGTTTTAACCAAAAATATCAAGGAAATGAAACGTCACATGCACAGGTTCTGATTGGCTGATTGCTAAACTGCTACTATATTTAGTAGTATTCCAGAATCTTCGAGAAACCCAAGAATATTTAAAAATATTATAAAAACCCTATATTTTCTGTGCTAAAATGAACTATTGGAGTAAAGTACATCTCGCATACTTTGCATCTTCTCTCTCGTTGTTCAGATCGCTGTATAATTCTAGCTTGAGGATTACGGAATAATTAAGGAAACGAATATAACATTCAATTTGCAAAACTTATCAACTATGTCTAATTAGAAAATAATCCTTGTAACTTACTTATTATCATGTAATCTATTACTCCATTCTTTAGATTTCCAAATTTGTTGAGATTTTTCTAATGAAAAATAATCTGTTGATACACGTAATGATAAATTTATTGGTTTATTTATCCATTTTTTCACTTCTTCTGGATTTTTAAATGGACCTTTAATTTTTGGCAATTCTTTATTCATTGAATTCATTTGATGTAATGTTTGTTCTGTTGATAATTTCTTTCTTTGTTTATTGTTAGTTTTAATTAATTCTTGACGAACTACTGATAATAGAAGCTTCTCTTTGTCATTTATTCTATTACCAAGATGAAAATGTAATGAGAAATAATTATGTTCAGAAGGGGTTTTGTGGAGATTTTAGAAATTTCACTGGTTGAAATCATGAATCAATTGAGACTAGAACACCATGGAAAACCTGGAAGCACTGGATGGCCGTTCCATTCTAGTATGGGACTCCTCAGCAGTGCGTATCCATGATCCTGCACCCCGCGAGATTCGATCATCTGCTCACTAGTGACTGACTTCAAGAGATACTCCTGGAGTTCTGATGAGAAGCCGTTATCAGTGGAGTTCAACCAGGTCTGTTGTGAGATATCAACTCACTGAAGACAATGTTGTACGGTGGCGCAACTGCGTGGATTGGTTGAAGTTAGACATTAACACCGTTGGATGCCGGCTCAGTGGTCTAGTTGGTTAAGCGCCTGGCGCAAGACTGATACGTCCTGGATTCGAGTCTCGCGGGGTGCGGGATCGTATGTGCACACTGTTGAGGAGTCTCGTGCTAGGACGAAACGGCCAGCTGTCCAGTGCTTCCAGGTTTTTCATGGTGATCTAGTTTCAATTGACTCATGATTTCAACCAGTGAAATAATTATCCAATAGATACAGAAAATATGTTGTATGAAGAAGAAAATCTTGCTATTATATTCTTTAAAGTAAATAATTTGATCATCATTGAATAAAAATCAAAATGTGTCAATATGGTTATACTTATGACTATTGCTTTGTAATTTGTAGAAATAAAGTCGATCACAAGCAATGTTTTTCTCAAATTATGGTGTGAGTTACTTATATCCAAATAAGTAGTATGTAACGATAGTCAGGAATAGAATGTCTTGCAGTAGATTGACAAGGAAAAAACGGGAACGGAAAGCAATTGGTATGAAAATGCAGGAACAATGAAATCTGAGATGATGGACTGATATTTCTAAGGAAAAAACAGTCAAGTTTGAGACAATGGATTGGTCACAATTGATTGATCAGTGAGTGGTGATCAATGTCATGTGTGTCAAATTCTTATCAGTGCAGATCGAATACTATCGACGAGGTCACAATGTGGCCACCAGTCTAGGTGATTTGACACTGCGTGCACTATGTTGAGATTAGACTTGACACACACAGTACACAATGATATTGACTAAGAATTAGTGAGAATAATTGAGAATATAGAGTATTTGAATTTTATGTGATTTGGTTGATAGCATTCGATCTGCACTAACAAGGACTTGACACACATGACATTGATTGGTCACCACCAAGTGATCAATCAACTATGATTACATCTCAGTCCTACAGGAATTCAGTCGCGGCTCAGATAGCTCAGTGGTAATGTCTGTGACTTTGAAACTGGGTGATACGCGATCGAATCCCTCACGGAGCATCATTTTCCTCAAGATTGCACGTACACCTTACTGATGAGTGCTAAGTAGCACGAAACCCAAGTCCAGGGTTTCTTGTTCACTACTTTCAACCACCATCTAGTTACAATGGATTCTTATTTTGCAAATTAAGTAATTACTGGATGGTTCTCAGATTTTACTATGATGTTCTGTAAATTTGTGTTCAAATACTTATGTTTAAACACTTATGTTCTCGTTTTCTACAAAATTACTTTATGTTATCATATATTTATAGGTTATAAGTGGTTTTCACAAAAGATCAACATCAGCTAAAGCCTCGATGAATTACATAGAATATTGTAGCGTTTTATGCAGTGAATATATTTTACTAACAAAATAAGTATACATATATATGAAATACTTTTTCCTTATTTACCAAAATATACAACAACTATATGTCAAAATTACTTATTGTTGGTAGAATACAGAAAACGTTCGAAATTTTGATGATTTGTTCAAATTATTAATGTAATTGAACTAACAAAATGACGTAAATAGACATCAAAGCTTTTGAAGATTTAATGTAAGTTAAAGAATACATCTTTTTATTAGTACTGACACAAACTTTTAGAGTGTCAATTAAACTTCATACTACTACATCACTAATCATTCATACTTGGATTATACTAACTATCGGTTACTTGGTTTCAGGATTGTTATGCTTAAGTCTAACAAAAGTTGTTATTCCATCTTCAGTAATCATAATAGAAGGAATGCAGTCCTAATGGTATCTTCATGACGTTAAGAATAATTAGTGAATATTTATAGTTTAAATCACAAACTGAAGTGAATTAGATTACTATTCAAAAACAGAAAGCACTGAACGGCCATTTTGTCCAAGTATGATGACAGCAATGAAAATTCATTATCTCAACTCCGTGGATCGAACTCGAGACCCTTCATCTCGCGCTCGAACTCTTGATCTATAGACGACTAGGCCGGGTGTTAATGTCTAAGTTTAATAAATTCACGAAATTACTAAACCCTTATCCATTGCTTAGGGTAAATAACTGTCTCACATTCAATATAGTTGAACTTTACAGGTCACGACCTCTCAGTAGAACTTCAGGAGTTGCATGTTGAAATGAGTCATTAACGAGCATATGATTATCATCAGTATAGGGTTTGTGGAAATTGCTGTATCTTCATAGTTTAAACACGAACTTATTTTCATTCATTGAATATAACCATCCTACTTATAAGGCAAAAGTAATATCATAGCATATCATGATTTACTTACGTTTTATCCATTGGATTTTGATATATTCCTGGTTGACAACATGTTGAAACCAGAAAATGATGTGATTTCGCCCAATTAATTATTCTGTCTCGTTCTTTTTCTTGCTTTTCTTTACATTCCACATATTTCATTTCTTTTTCATATTCAGACAACTGATTCCTAGTTTAGTATTTGAAATATTTGATGAGCATTATCGATAATTAATTACTTATAAATTACTAATATAATGACCTGACTCTAATTAGACAACTATTTAAATCAAGGAGTACTAGATAGTGGTTTCGCCATACTATTAAACTCTTCTGAAATTCACATCACTAGCGATTAGTCCATGATAATTGGGGTATCATGATGAATGTGCTACATTTAAATCATTAAGTTAGTAATCGATATTTCATTATTTCAGTGGTTGTCAGATGGAGTTCAGTTCATGATACGAAATATTTGCATACATTTAGTTTTTTTATGAAGTTTTTTTCTTTCAGCTGGATAGTTTGGTCGTGGAGTTTTCATCGACGTTCAGCACAGACTTCACATATCATGCATACATTTAATTCTCAAGTAAAATATTCGGTAATGATCAAAATGCTTACTTGACAAATTCTCCTACATCAACTAGTGCAGATAGATAAACTTTACGTGAATAAAAGTTGAATATATATTTACGGGTTAAATAACCTTTCCATGCACTTTGAATCTATCATAGAATAAAAATAAACAGATAAATTATTGATCTTAACAGAATGAACTGGATTACTTTTGCTGCAGCCTTACTAAATTTATTTCGTCGATATTCTATAACAGTTTTGGATAATATAAGTCGATATTGTTTACGGCCTAGATAGCCTCTCCAAGTTTTTTGAATGATGATTGTACATTTTTCGAGAAGTCTATAAATAAAAGGAAGTTTATAAAGAAAGATATTCTTTTAAACATTTGATAATAAGTGAAAGTATTCTGATAAACTAATTCTATGGATATCAGAAGGGGTTTTTATGCATATTATAGTGATTTCAATAGTTTAGATTATGAGTCAATTAAAGCTAGACCACCATGGAAAACCTGGAATCAATGAACCGCCGTTTAGTTCTATTGTGGGACTTCTCTATTGATATTTGCTAAGTTAAAATAGTTCTATCATAGTTAGCATAGTTAGACAATATCTGTTTGGTGAGTTGTTCTCTATTCGGCTAGAGCGTGAGCGAGCGCAGGAAGCTGCACTTTGGACCAATTATTATTTATTATTACAATCGGGTGCTACCTCGCATTTAACGTATCATTGATTACTAGAAGATCATTGGTACCGGATAGAAAGTCTAGGCGAACTAATCAATACTCAGACTAGATCAAGGCATTTGCTCTCCTGTCTTACTATCGGATCTCACAGGCCCCAAATAGATACTCAAGGAAATCTGTTTATTCGCATTGACACATCAATAATGTGAACAATAGAGATAATATGATACACCGAAAACCTCACTCGTCATCCTGTGTCACAGGTTGCTTGCTATTTCACCTTAGTTTGTTTGACAGTTCATGATTTCACAATGTACCCTCCAAAAATCTCTAAAAGTGTTTTTACAGATCTTGTGTCGTTTGAGGGGGGTTCTTGTTACGATTTGAAACCAAGCAAAGACATACAAAAATTGAGTAGCACTGAAAATCCATTTCCCTAGCTCGGTACTTCTTAGAAGTACATACCTTGTATTATCCATGACTTTGAGTCATCTATTTCGACCGTGTGGTATGAACTCATTGATCCGTATTTACTAGTTTAGTTTCAAACCAGATTTACAAAGTCAGTCGGCTCGCTTGATACATCTCTACACCATAAAGTATCTTTGCATAAAAAATGCAGCCTGACTGTTAGAGTTGTTCATGAAAGGAAGAAAAAACTGGCTTATGTTGAAATTAGAACTATTTAATGTCACAAATAGACGACATTTGTTGTCAATAGTTTATATGAAAGCTAAACCCAACATTCAATAGGTGATATTATCGTGATATCTGTTTTCTTATTTCAGATTAAAACTCAGGTGGCACAAGCTGAACTATCTGCTTCTCGTTCGGATTCAAGATTGCCTTAGCATGAAGCTTGTATTACCTCTGATGACTATCAATTGCTTCTGTTATTAGATGAAAGTGCATTGTGTGCGCTAGCTGGGTCGTCATATCACCCTTTTCTTTCGTTCTTCTTTCCCAACTCTCGTCACTCACTGTAATTTGCTTGCTTCCCTAGTACACCAAGTACCTTCTGTCTAGAAGCGAACCGCTACACAAGGATATTTCTATTAAAATTTCAAAATGACAAAGGATTCTCTTAATTTCAGTCATAAATCGTTTAATACTAAGTGTTATATCCGAGCGAAGATTAAATCACGAGTAACTACTGAGACATATTAATTGACTAATATTATCTATACATTCTTATGGTTTAACAATTCAATGATGAGATTATGTATATTTATATTCCTCTTATCATAAGCTTTATTTTGACCTATAATTTATTATTGTACAATTTACTGTTCTTAAGCTGTGTTAAGTTTATTGACTACTGCCTCCTACATTCACAACCACTTTTTGGCTTTATTGTGTACAAATTTTATTTCATATTTTAAGGTGCGTTGCGGTCTGTTTGGTTGATATATGAATCCAATATGTCTGAAATAAATGTCGATTCGATTCGATTCGCATGGTGTAGGCTGGTGTTGGTGTTCTGGACTCAAGTGAATGGGCTAGGCGGACATAGGACCGATAAGGACGCTAGACTGCGCATACCGGTCAAACGTCATTGGTTTGACACAGTGCGAAGATTGTAAAAGTCGTATTTTGATTGGTGGATAAATCATGTGATAAAAAGCCGGACTTAAAGTCATAACATTAAGTATCCAAATCAATGGAAAAAACGAATACAAATTCGAAGAGCTCTACGAGAATTGTTGAACAGACTCAGAGTCTACAGAGCTAGATGAAAGTAAAAATATCAGCTATTAATGTAACTGAGGAAAGAACAGCTCCTTGTGGCACACCTTCTTGAGACAGTAGGGATTTCAAACGCTCTCCTTCAAACACAGCGTAGTATTCTCTTTCAGGGAGGTAGGAACATAGCCAGTTGGTCAGCCAGCTGTCTGTGTTGACGCTGACTAACTTATTTGGTAGATGGCGTCTTGAAATGAAGTCAAAAGCAGAAGTATAGTCCAGAAAAGCACATCAAACACACATAAACGTAATTGTATTGATTCAATTTTTTGAACGGCAACTTAAAGTTGAATAGTCGATAAAGTCATTAGGAAACTTAAAACATGTAAAGATAGATCGGCATTAGTTCACGTTTAAAAATGTAGCTGAAACGCTGCCACAACTTTTCTCATTTCTTGATCGATCCTGACGACGGATATTTAAATTTTGTCCTGAAATCTTTTCATATCCATCCCTCGATAAGTTATGCGATTAATAACATAATGATGTGCTTTAACAGAATAGAAAATAACTTTTCGAGATATCTAGATGGAAGGAACAAGTAGCCCAGTTATTCAAGCAGGCCGCCATTGTACTAATAATAAAAGTCTGTTTCAGGTACCTGAAGATAATTAGTTTCGAGTGATCTGCACCAATCACTTTACATGAATGCAATTACTAAATCATAGTCTTTTTCCAACTCTTTAACTGTCTTATTTTGAATTTATAATAGTTGACAAATTAGTTGAAAGTATTTGAATTGTCCCTTCGTTAATATTCAAAACTGAATTTTGGTCAATCCTAATTGTGATAGGATGAAATGTGACTTCTGGATTCTGCTGTAAACCATAATCTATCAATTCTAAAAACTTGTGACAAAATAGCCAATATGAAGATAACCTACTGAGGGCACACTTATGCTAAGACTAATCAAAACACAGTCCTAAACATTAATAACGGCGTAATTAAAACCAATTCCAATAACATCAGAAGCATCATAGCAGTTGGAAACGTTTGTATCGATCTTAATTAGTCGCCATAGTGTAAGCGTTTCGAGTGAAAGTTACTGGGTTCGAGTTTTGTCGTAACCATCAACACTGGGATGCAGTTGCATTTAGCTGACGAGACCCAAAAAGAACAAAAGCCTTGTCCTTGATTCCCCTGCAAAACAAAAATCATTTATTCTAAAAATTGACAAGTGTTTTTATTTTCCTGAGACCTTAACATCGATTTTAAGTAAAAGCAATACAATAAAATGTAGAGTGACTAATGATGTTCTGACATCACTTATATAAAACATAGTAACATATATTTAACCAACTTTAAGTAGCACCGTATTCGAATACCACGAAACCATGCTTGGATTTTGACTGCTGCATTATACTCAGTAAGGCGATATGTATCACAGTTTCTGAAATATAAGGTATATTAATTTTCCGGAAAGTATTCCAACTCACCTATATACTTCTTTCAATTTTAACTCATAGTTATGTACAAATTTCTCTAACAAACTTTGATTCATGATTTATGAAGTTATTTTCAATACATGTCTACTTTTATTGATATTATCTTTTACAAAAATGTCACCTACAAAAGTATGGTTTCAAATACTCTCTTTATCATTTTTCTCTTTAGTGACAAAAAGGACTGGTCAGTTCTAATGTTTTGTTACTAAAATCAAAGACGAAATAAGTGTGAGGTTATGAATAATTAACAAACGAATTTGACCAATGATTTGATTTCAAAGCATTTGATGAAAATACTACGTAGAATTTAGAACAAAAAAGGGAAACAGACAGTTTGATTAATACTTGTCCAATTTTCAACTACTGGTATTGAATAAAATGCATACAAAATTCGAAGTAATAATTATTGAAGAGGGTAAAATTAAGTTGTAAATTAACGATCTAGTACGTCTGTTTTTTATAAACTTATATCTGTCATACTAACTAGCAAGATACATATGTTTACTTTGCATTTGATAAAAGTCCATACGACTTAAAGTGATCGTGAATTGATTTGTTTTGTTAAAAAGAATACTTTCCTAGACTATGAGTGTTCAAGAAATCAAATAAAAGATGTCTCACCACTAATGCCTCAGATAATATAGCGAGAATGCTTTGAGCTTGTAATTATACTTGTGGGAATTTGTGTAACGAGATCTGCAATCTTTAAGACTTGAAAGATCCAATATAAACTGAGCTATTGTTATCGATTGCAAACTATATCATTTAAGATTTCTAGCCAGTTCCTACTTCGAGGAGTTCATAGTAGCAATAAGCGAATCTAAAAACTGATGTAATGTAAGGTTCTGGTGACTCAATTTCCTCAGTTCAATGGATTTTTATATACGACTATTTCGTATGCATAATATAGTATCGAGTTAATTTACTAGTTAGAGTTACATAAGATCATTATTTGTATTAACTTACCTACCTCGCACTTGGCAATCAATGATTTCATCGCACTCGAACTATGTTTCAAATATACGTGCGACTTTTTATCTTTAAAATTTAGGCGGATAATTTTTCATGTGTTTAACTGTAAACACATTGTGATTTATCAGGCAGTTTGCTAGCAACATACTTTAAGCATCGCTCTGTTTAAATTTGTAATCGTATGTCCTAACATACTTGGAGCAGCAAGTGGTATGACAGTAACACCAAGCCAACCCGTAATAGCTGTACCTAAAACTTAACTATCCCGATTGTACTCAATGAAGTCGAAACCTTCGAGTAGTTCTGCACTAACTTGATCGTCATAACTATGGCAAACGCATTAGGAGGTGGTTTGTGGAATTCGCTATGTTCGGCTACACCACTAACGGTTACGTTTTCTAATTTATATTTGTTTTATGAATATGGTTTACTAAATCATCCACCCTATAGTTTAGTGATGACATTATATTTTTGGTAGGGCATAAATAACAGCAAAAGTAAGATAGAGTTACAGGGAAACTTGGATGCCCTGGTTGAGTGGAAAAATCCATCGGCGCTAGTAGTAAATGATATTTAATATCGTACTCCTAAATTTTCATCACAGTAATCTATATCACAATACAATAAACGAAACACCTTTATCCAAGATTATTGATTATAAGGATTTAGGAGTCGTAACAGACGGTTTCTTAAGAAAGTAGTGTTAAAGACTTATAGGTCTTTTAGAAGCTGTGCATAACTCGTCATAAGTTGAATGAATGAATGTATGTCAAGAACATTTTACCTGATACATATCAGATTACAAGTCATGAGAGTTCGTCTAATTTTTTCCGGCTGTCAAGAGGAGTATCACCAGGCTCCATCCTTCCAATACCCAGGATGCACCTTAGATTCTCAAACAATCCTATATCCATATAGTCTTAAGATGTGGAAGGAGATAGAAGGTCTATCTGATTTTTCAACATTTCAAAACTTGAATAAAATATATTATTAGACTGTCGGAGATTTCTTTCCTCTGAGCACTAGTAAACGCAATAGACTCACAAAAGGTTATGGAAACAACCAACATACTGAACTAGGATTGTTGAAAACTTTTTTTCAAAGTACTGCACTTATAGTTTAAATGGTTCAAATGGCCCATCAATAAACTTTGGCCCTCATAACGTAACCGCTCAAATAAGCTATCAGAATATTTCATTACAAAATAGCCACAGTCAGAGTTCAGACATTTCGCAACGTCTTTGTTAAAAGATGGAATTCGCTGCCGGCCGAGTTAGTCCAAGCAACTTCCCAGGAGTCCATTAAGAGGCAACTTGATCTATTCTTAAGGACTAAGGATAGTATCACACTATGACTTACTAATTTCTTTTCCTCTTTTATTGTTAGCATACCTAGGTTCCTGTCTGGAGGATTTGGTGATCCGCTGCTACTAGATACGGAAGCCTGTTAAGCGAAAGCTTCTTTTATTCCGTCCACAACCATTTGAACCATTTGAAACAGATAGATCCCATAGCAACCAACTTGAATTTCCGCCTCACGTTTAACGTAACCTTCCATCACGACAAACATTTCGCGAAATTTCCCTGCTGACACATACTAATGACAACGATAGCCTGTGAACATAGTCGTCTTTTATCCATTACCGATGTTCTGACAAGAGTTCGCCATCTATTCGTTACTGGCTCGAAATTAAACATCCTTCCCGCCGATGCAAATAAGAGTCTACAAGATTGGGTCTTCAAGTTACAGGCTGAAAATGGAAAACCGATCACCAATGAAGGTAAAACGGCTAGCGCAGACCCATACGCCGTGCTTTCGCTGTTACGAACGTATCAGTGCCAATTAAAGTTATGGACCCGCTACAATACCATAGGGTCAACCAGTCTTACGACTTGGTACATACATTATCGTACGTCACGATTCATTACTCCAGAAACTCAAAGCTGCGTACGAAATACAGTATAAAATTGTTCACCACGAACCTTAATATCGTACTGCTGATTAGAACGAAATAGGTGACATCAATTTCGGTCGGCTAAAATTCCCTTACATAGAATTCGACTGCATCTGTATTCGCTTTCCCACTAAGCAGTCGAACGACACAGTGCGCACAACTAAGAGCAAACTTTCAATAGTTAGCGGTCACGACGAAACGCGGATGGTATCCGATAACCAGCCTAAAACGGTCGACTTTGGAAGGTCTTTGTTGTTTCCAGAACACTTGGACAGTTACTGCTGAAAAGGAATTACATGAGTTTTGGTCTCATTTTTCGTGTTCTACAGGTAGTCAATTACATTCTCAGATCTTTTAATGCTTTAAAAGCATGCAAACAAATAAAACTGACTTTTAAGTGTGCTGAAATATGTCTTTCTTACAAAAATCCTAGAAGACCTGTTTGTGTAATGTTTTTTTTCGCTGTCTCATATATAGTGGGTTTTGTTTATCGTAAGCTTATTTTGAATAAGTAACTACTAGTGTGTCTCGACATGCACCAACATTTTCACTGTTTTTATTTTCCAAGATGACTGACCACAAATACGATGAATCGAGATTTTCATTCTACGCTATTTCTTTTCAGAATTCACCACGTAACACCCTGGTAAAATGAAAAACGGTTAGATGCCTCTGAAATATCAAGTTATCAGAACATCGTTTACAAATGACAAGCTCATTGAAATCAAAGTCTTGCTGGTTACGTTTAAGAGTGGTCGTTTGTCCACAAAGGGGAGTGAGCTATTGCCATAAGTAAATATTCGAGATAAGTAAATCTGCGGTTCTTCAACAGTGACTACGACCCTATGAATTTAACTGGACACACTCTAGCTGAAATCGTTTGATCACATATCCTCTATATTGAGCATTTGTTGAAGTCATATACATCTTGACGCATTAATATCATCTAATCACTATATTCCTAATTTCTAATTAGACTGACTTCTTGGTCATGGGTTAGGAATGTGTTGCAGACAAAAACGTTTTCTAGCATTGAATATCCGAAATATCTCCAAATGTGTGGTCCCAGCTGTCCTTGTAACCGACAATTAAATATACTTCACTTCAAGGCAGTTCACCTACCATTACATTTGTCCCGATAGAACAATGAGAAGACAGAGTTGACCTGAAGAATTTGATATGTTTACGCGATACATTACGAAAAACCTGGTCACATATATACTTGCTAAGACATTTTATATGAACATTAATGAGGACTAATTAAATAAGAGTTCAAGCAAACACACTGAGAATTGCAAATAAGGGAGAGGGAAAAACTGACATCGTATGGAAAAAATAGGAAATTGTCTCACTACTCTAAGCCATGAAATGACTTAAGATTACCAGGGAAAATTCAAGGTTAAGACGAATCGTTTCTGTACACATAATTAAGGTCTAGATTTGCGAATAGCCCGGGCTTCTATAAACCAAAGAATTCAACCTTGACAGTTTCTACATGACGCTTTAAAATCTGTGTTGATATCGGTTCTGTACCCAGTTTCAATCATGGGCCTTACTAACAATAGACAGCGTTTTGCCTGAAGTCACAAGCTTTATAAGCAAAGATAGATAGTGTCTGGGTTTGAGTCCCAGAGTGAACATCAACTTTGAGATACAGGTACGTCTAACTTTCGAGTCCCAAATAGACGAAACACACGTCCTAGACTCCACTGCCAGCCACAAAATTTCATTCAAATTAAATACTCATGAATATACAGAACGTTGACTATAATGTTGTATACAATTTAGCGGTTATATCCACCGCATATCCACTTTTTAACACAAACTTCTTGAATTGTTCTCATAACAAGTTCGCATCCATAAAAGCGGAAAATATGTGTAAATTATACAAGTTCGGGTCTCAGTAAATATGAAGTTCATTTGGGTGGATGCTGTGAACGCTAAGTGAAGAAAAAAATACATGTTTTATTGTTATGTAGTGTTCTGTTTGTCTAACAACAATACCATTTATAAAGGGTTGATCGTTATTATTGTATTGTGAAGCGCAAAAAGACACATTGAGAAGAAAAGAAGCTTTTTTATACCAATAACCACTATTATTAGCCCGATATATGACTCTGTTTAAATCGT